ACCTTTGTGTTCAGAAAGACTTCAGACAACCCCATCTTGATCGAAGTCTAGAGGCGGCTCAGGTGTCACGTTTTCAATTTGCTCTCTGAACAGAAGGCGCCAAGCTCTGATTATCGACAGCTTACAACGTGTAATCATGCAAAAAGTTATACACGAAAATGCTTCCTGCAGTCTGACTTATTACAGAAAGAAGATGAAAGCCAAGCAAAAAGCCAGCAACAGCAAAATGATTCAGCAAGTTGCCATAGTTGTAGGAACGTTACATGGTTGTTAAACATATATGTGTTGAATGTGTATATAGCATATATAGTGATGTGGAAAACTGCCTTTGATATAATGTGAAGATTTTTTTTTTAAAGGTAGCATACGTAGTTTTATGTTAAAACTATGGTTGGTTTGTTTTTAAGATTCATAAAAAAAAAAAAAAACTAGAAGAAAGTAGGCAAAGTACCTGCCCTGGTTGTAGTAAGGGTGTCGGCTTATGGATAATTTGAGTTTTTTCATATGGACAATGACGTGTTTACATTTATGGTAGAATAATATCTTTAAACAAAGAGATGTATCATTGTCAAAGGAATAAGATGCTGGTTTGTGTTGTCACAGTAATGACACATTCATTCGTATTCCACCTATTTTTTTAATTCAGACATGTTTTGGGCTAAAGATTTTCTTGACTTAAGAGTTTTATTAATCTGGGTGAATAAATGGCAAAGAAAACTTGAAGGGGTGTCTCCAAATACTTGCCAAAGCATTGCTGTAGGTGTGTGAGAACTTTCTTTCTTTGTAAGATTACGGCACAGATCAATGGAATAATTCTTCTAAGCACGTGCCTTCAGTACTTCCAGCGAGAAACAAGGTATTAGCTTGGGGTGGCACAGAAAGCTCGGAAATTGCATTCTTAAAAGTGTTCCTTTTTTCTGGCTTAATTGAGATATAGTTGACATATAGCATTGTGTAAGTTTAAAGTGCATCACATGTTGATTTGATACATTTATATGTTGCAAAATGATTGCCACCATAGTGTTAGCTAACGCCTCCGTCCTGTCATATAATTACCATTTCTTTTTTGTGGTGAGAACATTTAAGATCTACTGTCTAGGCAATTTTCAAGCATCCAATACAGTATTATTTCCTAGAATCACCATGCTGTGCATTAGATCTCCAGAACTTGCTCATCTGTTATCACTGGAAATCTGTACCCCTTGACCAATATCTCCTCATTTTCCCCACCCCACACACCCTGGAAACCATCACTGTATTCTGTTTCTCTGAGTTCGGCAAAAAAAAAAAAAAAAAAAAAGCGTAATTTATAAGTTAGAGCTTATGTTGTTTTGATCAATGAGTCCAGGCCGGCGGCTGCCAGGACAGGCTTATTGTACCGCTGTTCTTAATGTGGGAGTTCGTCATGCCGCTCTCTGTAAGTGGCTGAAATCATGCTCGCCCCCACTGGATCCAGTGTGAACATGAAGGCAGCCTGCTCTGGCTTTGAATTCTGTGTCTTTGTTTTAGAAAAGATTTTGGGCCTCTCTGTGAGAGGGGGATGACACCAGGGCCCTGGAGGCTCCTTGCTCAGCTTCCACAGAAGGCTCTGTGCAGCCCAAGAGTGCAGGGGTCCAGGAGCATCCCACTCTGCTCCTCTGTGAAGGTGGCCAGCCCCTTAGGCTCGGTCAGTCCCACCCCCGCAGCCTCATCTGAGTTCCTGTGCAGGGTGGCCTTAAAGAATGTAACTTACAGCTTTTCTCGGCCACTCGGGGCTGAGCGGCCAGTTCGAAGGCGCTCTCAGTGCCTGCTGGAGGCCCTTCTGTTCTTTCTTTACTCAGTTACTCAGATTCACTGCTGCCTGGGGTTTGACTGGCTGTGCAAACCACATGGTGGAAACAGCATGTCTGCCCAGTCATGCCTTCTTGCTAAGCTCTTCCCATGTGTGTTCATGAGATATTGATATTGATGAGCAACTACTGTGTGCTCAATGAGTACTCTCCTTGCTCTTGTGAGAGGTTACAGCCCAGCAAGAGAGATCAGTCATTAAAAAATAATGCTACGAATTAAGGGAGAGTCAACAACCGAGATAACGTCAACCAAGAAGAGGAACAGGGAGCTGTGGGCCCCATGATGGCAGAGACTTTTGTCTGTTTTATCAGCTGCTATTTATGGGGACTGGACACGTGATCAGGGGTATGGGCGGCAGCTGCGAGACCAGACAGGCGGCTGAGGAGGGAGAGAGATCCGCATCAACCTCAACAGAGGGAAGCGAGCCGATCTGGCAGCTTCACCAGAAGGGAAAGCCCGTGGTTTATTTGACGATGGAGCTGACGGGCCGTCTCTGGAAATAGCCACACTTTGCGACACCATCTTTTTATTATCCTTTCTGAGGCTTCCTTCAGAACTCTGGGCTCTGATTTGCCACTTGGCCGGCAGAGTTGAATGGCTAGGCTGTAAATTCTAATCCTGGAGGGCCAGCTGGCTTTTCCTGTGCTTTCCCGTTTGTCCATGTTGTTTATTTTACTATGCCTTCGAGCTCAGTTTTCTGCCAGCGGGTCAGAAATCTGTGGAGGAATTGCTTTGAGTTCTTGCATGGGTAGACAGGTTCTGGAGAGGAGAGTGGTCCCTCTAGGACCCTCACCTGGGTGCCGGGTCTGTGAACTGAGAAGGCCTGGGCTGCTGTCTGGAGCGTGTTGCTCCTAGAGCCACCCCCCAACCCCCAACCCGACCCAGCTGACTCTCAGGGAGATCCTGCTCTCTCTCAAGTCACTCATGTCCTGCCGCAGGCTCCAAGAAATTGTTCTCTGTTGGGGCAAATATTTGAAAACACTGATTTTTTTTTTTTTGTGAGAAAGATTGGCCCTGAGCTAATGTCTACTGCCAATCTTCCTCTTTTTGCTTCAGGAAGACTGTCTCTGAATTAACATCTGTACTGGTCTTCCTCTATTTTATGTTGGATGCCGCCATGACTTGATGAGGTGTGTGGGTCTGTGCCCGGGATCCGAACCCTTGAACCCTTGGCTGCTGAAGCAAAGCATGTGAACTTAACTACTTAACTCCTACACCACCGGGCTGGCCCCTGAAACACTGATTTTTGGTGGGTCATTTGCCCTTCCTCTGTGTTTCCACAGTACCCCGTGTTTCACTTCATTCGTTCATCCCTCAGGTATTTATTAAGCACCTACTATGTGAGAGGCGCTTTTCCCAGCCCTGAAGAAAACAGATAAAATCACAGCAGCGTTGGTTCTCAGCCTTGGCAGATCATGAAATAACCTGAGCAGCTTTAAAAAAACATGGGTGGAAAATTTAAAACTTTGTCTTCCTATTCCTTCTCTGCAACACGTCCACTGCCACCACTAAGCGTCATAGTTGATGGCAAAACTCGAGGGTCTCCGGTATAAGACGGGGCTCCAGACACACTTTCCAACAACCACCAGCTCTGCTGAGTTGCACCCCTTTTCCCCAAGGAGTGGAAGAGCCCGGGAGCCCTTCTCTGCCAGACCTTGTCGCTCTCCAGTCACTTTCTGTTTGGAACAGTCTCGTTGGTGTTTAGTCCTCAGTCCTGTTTGTTTGGAGACTTTGATCCCAAACTTGCTTCTTTTCCTCTTGTGCCCACAGGGCAGACCAGAGCTGGCTGCGGCTGCTCTTCCAAATCCATTCGCTTCCTCCCTTCCCACCCAACCCTTGAGGGGCCACCCTCTCGAGGAGGGAGAGGAGACTCTGCTCATAGGACTGGCTTTCCCCGTGGTGGGTTTGGATATTTTTTAGGGGAAGTTTCTCTCTCTAGAAGCAGTCTAGATAATAAACTAACGCAAAGTGAAAACCTTAGGATGCCACTGTTTTGCAGCCCCCTAATGAAATAGTCAAGCAAGGAGTGGTCTTCAATGACCACTAACATCGCAAAGAGCCCACTGGACAGTATTCAGCTCCTGGGGAAATGCACACCACGTTCACGAAGCACACTTGCTGAAAGATAGCCTGTGTCTGAGCAGATTCCTGTGCTGAGCCACCAGGCTATAGAAAATGCAAAGTTCACAGGAACATATTCAGTGACAACACATGGATGCAATCAACAAAATCTACTTGCCCAAACTGCAGGACGATCTGACTTCTTTGAGAAATAAATTGCAAAGAAAAAAAGAATATATGTATATATACTGGGATTTGCAGATGAAACAATAGGGTGTCTGGGATTTGCTTCAAAGTAACCTTTGATGGGGGTAGGGTTTGGGGGTGTGGGTTTCTGTCTTGTGGGGAAAGAATGTTGGCCACAGCAGATTATTGTGGAAATGGATGACGGATGCATGAGGTCCATCGGAATGACCTCCATTCTCTCTGTTGTGGTATGTGCCTGAAATTGTCTATAATGAAAAAATATGCAGGGTTTGCCCAAATTTGTTTTGATCACAGAGCTATTTTTCTCCAGGGCTTATCACTGTGGGTTTTGAGACTTTAGATACAATGAGAAGGGGTAAAATGTTTTGAGATCCTTGAAACACCAAGTTTTTTTAGATAGTTGTTTCTGGAACATCAACCTTTTTTTGGTATTTTGTTTGAAACACTGACTTTAATCCATAAACCAAAACCTGAGAGAGCATTTTATCTGCCAGGTGCTTCAGATACTTTGTGGAATAAGTAATAGATTTTTAAACAGTGAGAATTAGTGGAATGAGGACAATAAGCCAATGTGACAAGTAGCACGCAATCATTATTTGTCAGAGTGTGCAGCGTTAATTATGCTGTGGCCCCTGCTGGGCACCATTGACACACTTTCCAAGCCTACACAGCATCATTCCTCACAACAGCCCTACCATGCAGCTATTGTTCACCCCGCTCTAGAGATGAGAAGATGGGGTGCAGAGTGGAGCGGGGTGTCAACCCAGGCATCTCGGACTTGGTGCTCTGTTCCGCTCAAGGCTGTACTGCATTGGACCAGGGAAACAGCGTCCTTGGTGGTGACTTGCTAAGATTCTTTGGCATCAGACATTCAACCTCCTTCAAATGCTGTCTCTTTGCAGGGCATGGCACAGGTGGCTGGGGCCTCCTGCCCTCGGGCTGCTCCGGGCCAGCCCTTTGTGTTCAAGCTGGTCCTCCTGGGAAGTGGCTCTGTGGGCAAGTCCAGCTTGGCTCTCCGGTATGTGAAGAATGACTTCAGGAGTACCCTGCCTACCGTGGGATGTAAGTGATGGCACAGGGTGCCCTTTGTCAATCTCCAAGCTGAGAAGCTGGGGCTGTGGACCATGTGTGGGGCACATGGGGACGAGGCCGCTTGGGAATTTCCCAGCTCTCCTGGAGCATCAGGCTGCGCCCAGCAGGTGCAGTGAGGGGTTTCTGTCCATCTGCATCAGGCAAACATGCAGAACCCGGCACGGTCAGGTTTCAGCTCAGCCGGAGTCCTCAGGGGTGCTGATTCAGGGTCAGGGTCGCTGGCCCCAGAAGGGTTGGGTGTGTGAGGGATTATGCCCATGGGAGGGCAAGCCCCTAAGGCCCCCCAGGCTCTGCCACTCAGCCACTTAGACCAGCTGCATCTCACCCTGCCCGGTCGCCCTCCTGCTGACACCACTTTCCTGGATTGTTTATCTAAGAGCAGCTCCCTTTCTGCCTGGCCTCAGTTTACCAGCCTGGTAGGGGTTGAGGGGGGCAGAGGAAGGGGTGGTGGTGGGAGGGGCAGACCCGCTCACTGCGCTTCTTAAAGGGGCTGACACGGCATGGCTCTCAGAGGTCTTCGGAGCATCTGCTGGGCTGTCAGCCTCCACATCCTGCCTGGGGGTGAAAATCCCGTTTCCCACCTGAAATACAGAAACCTAAGCCATTTTTATGCCAATCCTTCTGGGAGGCAACCGGCATGGTGGAAAGACACCTCACTTGGAGTCAGAGCTTCTGTTTCAAATTTGGACTCTGCTACTGATAAGCCTTTAGTTTCCCTGAGTCCACTCATTCATTCACTCACTCACTCATTCATTCTTTCACTCATTCATTCATTTACTCACGCATTCATTTATTCACTCATTCACTCACTCACTCACTCATTCATTCATTCATTCACTCACTCATTCATTCTTTCACTCATTCATTCATTCGCTCACTCATTTAGCAAGCGTCTGCTGGGCATGGCCTCTGTCCTAGGCCTGTGTCAGGTGTAGAGGATTCTATAACAAGCTAAACAGACACATCAGACATAGAAACAACACAAAATGCTACTTGGGATCCTCGATCTTCTCAGGAAGATGGTTCCTAAGAACCCCGAGGGATACAGGGGGCCGAGGGGATCTGTCAGGGTCGGGCCCCCAGAACCGGTGGCGGAAGAGGCAGAAGGAGGGGTGAGGGGCTGGCTCCAGGACGGGAACTCAGGGAGAGCTAGTGAAGACAAAGGATTCAGTCTGGCTGAGAGGGGCACAGTGTAACCTTCTCCATCCTCAGGAAGATCGACACCACTCACCCACACTATCGGACTGGGCTTAAAAAACCAAAACAGAAGGGGCCGCCTGGCGGCCGAGCGGTTAAAGTTCTGCACTCTCCGCTTTGGTGGCCAGGGTTTTGCGGGTTCAGATCCCAGGTGTGGACCTACACCACTCGTCAGCCGTGCTGTGGGGGCGTCCCACATACAACATGGAGGAAGACTGGCACAGATGTTAGCTTGGGGAGAATCCTGCTCAAGCCGAAACAAAAACGAAAGCAAAAGAAAAACGCAGCAAAGTCCTGAGTCTGGCCTCAGGGGGCTTCAGTTGAGAGCAGAGACCACAGAAGGGGGCCTGGCCAGGCTGGGGTATCGAGGGCTGTGCACTGGGTATGTACCCGGCTGACTGGGATCCAAGATGATGGAGAGAGATGGCAGGTACCAGACCAGGCAGCTCGGTCAGGGTTGGTCTTACAACAAGATGTGGGAGGAGAAGCTATGGCTCACAGGGCCCTGCCTGTTTCTGCCTGTTTAGTGGGAACACAGCCACTCCCGGCATTTGCATATCCTCATCGGCTGCTTTCTCTCTGTAAGTGGTCACCACAGTCATGGTATGTCCCTTGAAGACTGAAATATTTGCTATAGGGCCCTTTACCAAAAAAGTCTGGGATTCTTGTTCTAACTGAGTCTGTGAGAGAGAGCCGGCACCCAAGAGGTGGTGGGCGGCCACCAGTGGGCTCCTGGGAGAGGAGAGGCCAGAGAGGGTGATGTGGAGACTCATTTAGCTCAGCCTAATCGACCTGCACGTCCGCACGTGCTGGGCCCACCTTGGGGGCGGGAGGGGGCCCAGATGCCCAGCGCCATGCTGAGCCGGGGGGACAGTGCTGGCGTTGTGTATTCACAGAGCAGGGGAAAGGGAAGCTCAGACAAGTTTGCTCGCTTTCCCGAGCAAGAAGCCTGCGGGCTTAGCTCTTCCCAGTTGCTGCAGCTCATGGAAGGCGGGGGGCAAGGCCCCGCCACCCCCCCCGCCCCGGCTGGGTCCTTCCATTCCAGCAAGTCAGGGGCCAGGCGTCCCCTCCCCAGGCTGCCCAAGTTGCCGGCACTCTCTTTAGGGGCTGCATGGGGGTCAAGAGGATGGACAGACCTGGGCCCAAGTTGGATGGGGGGGTCTTTGCTGGGGGAGCAGGTCTGGGTGTGCCCTCTCCTCTCCTGGTCCTCTGCCCTCCTGGGCCCCCTCCCCCAGGCCCAGGCTTATCATCTCTCCAAACCTGCTCCACAGGCTGGCTCTGCCTCTGCCCTGGGGCTGGTGCCTTTTCCCCTCTCTGGTGGCTGGGACTGGGAAGGGAGGGTATGGTGGCAAAGGCAACCGATTACGTTAGATGTGGCCCCAGCCCTCAGGCTGAGGGCAGCAATTCTTCTTTGTTCCATCAGCCACAGCCCTTGCGGCCAGCACTGATGTACCCAGTGCCTACTGTGTGTGCCGGCGACTGTGCTGAGCGTTGGGGACGCAGAGGGGATGAGCCCTCCTCTGCTTCTAGGAGCTGAATCCCCTGTGGGAGGGACGGCCTCCGCCGCTTACATCCCAGGGTCTACACCCCACGCTTACCTGGGACATGATTACAACCTTTGGAGTGGGTATTCTTAGCATCATTACAGAAATAAGTAAAAAAATAATATTACTTATTTCACTTATTATAAAGTCGACACAAAATAACCAATAGCCAGTCTATAGATAAGAGAAATACGTGGAGTTTACTATGAGCCAGAGTGAGGATTATAACCTGGGAAGGACTTAGAAAGCGTTCCGGAGAAGCATGGGTTTCAGTGCAGTCTTATATCTTTTTAGAACAAAGAACATACATTAAACACACTCAGGACACATTTTCGTCAAAGTTTCAACAAGGTGTTTAGTTGCAAATTTAGGTCAACTTGACCATGATGTCAGGCAAGGGAGTAATCTGGGTGTTACCAATAGGATGTGGGAGGGAAAGCATGCCTTCTTACCTTGAGAGGGTGACTCCTTACTTTAGTGGTTAAGCAGGTGTACAGCGTATGTTTGATGGGCCATAAGTTCAAGCCAAATCAGTTTTGAGCCCGAATAGCTACCCATATACCTTACTATGTGAAAATCTCTTGTCAATGACATGATATTTATTAGTATTATGTTATTTTATTAATTATTTTTCTATTGCAATTATTATGTTTTTTATAAAAGTGGATATTTCCGCTTTTCTGATGAGGAAATGGAACATGATCATTCCTTTAATTTATGTGAAGGCAGTCTGTGTTGTCCAAAACCCCTCTGAAGGCAGACACTTCTGTTTCTTTGTTTCACGCACGCCCTTGGCTTTATCAAGAGAACACGCTCTTGTTCACTGTGGGGGTGAGCGGGGGAGCAAGGCCTCTGCGTGGGATGGGGGTATGCACCTCCTCCTCGTGGGGGAGCTGGGAAACAGAGGAGGCTGTGTGTGCAAGCACCCGGTCTGCAGGAAACTCTCAGTAAATATGAGCCAACGAATGGAGGACAGAGGCCACGGGCAAGTGGCTTCTTCTCTCATCTCGATGTTTTTATCTCTGAAATGGGATGGGACCACCTTCCTACGGTGGGCCCTCCTGGAAGACTGACTTGAGGGCATCTTGAGCTGTGCATTACTGCAGGGGAGGAAGACATTTCCTCTACCCTCTGGGTCCTTCTGGCTGGGCTACACATTTAACTGACATGAGACAGAATAACAGGAGAAAATTAAACAAAGCTTTGTAACATGTATACATGGGAGACACTCAGGAAAGCTGAGTAACTTGCCAAAATGGCAGAGGTTCTCATCTTAAATATCATCTTCAGCTAAAGACAAAGGAGGACATTGGGGGTGGGGAGTCAGTTATGGGAGATGACCAGAAAAAGCACAGTAAACAAGAGTCAGGTTATCATGCAGATTTAAGTCCTTGCCTTCCACATTGATAAGAGTTTCTAGAGACAAGGTCATCTCCCTCTTCCTGGTACAGAGAGGGTGATACCTTTACAGATGGAGATTTCCCCTACAAATGTAAATGTCTCTTACTAAGGGTAACTTCTACTTGGTTTTCAGAGCTTCTCTCCTGCCTGCAGTTTCTTTAAAGTAACCAGCCCAAAATAATCCTCAAGCCAAAGAGGCACATCTTGGGGTGGCGTGTGACAATTTAACGTCGTCACAGTCCTTGTGTGTTGCCCCCCTTCTGCCAACAACCGCCCCACACACCTGAGGGCTGGGGTGGGATGGGGCCTGGTATGTCCGTGTGGTGCCACCTCGGGGCAGGCCAGATTCAAGATACTCCAGCCTTCAGGAGGACGATAGATCCCTGGGCTCCCTCCAGAGGGTCTGGATCTGTTGGTGAGCGTGTGGGGTGGCCCCGCAGTGGAGAGTTACATTAGCACTGGGCACGGACCTGGACAGTGTTCCAGCCATCCCCAGGCAAGACCCCGTCCATCTGGAGGAAGCCGGATCTGGAGCCCTAACTGTGACAGACGGACTCACGAACCAGAAGCAGAGCCAGAGTGAGCATCCCAGGTGGGCACAGCCTCCTGGGGGCTTGGCCTGCTGGGAGGAGACCAGAAAAACCCTGCAATTCCCACCACTCCCAGCCACCATGGCTTCCAGTCCTGCCACAGGAGGGGACCTGGCAGGGTAGGTGGGCAGCTCCAAAGAGTGACCACTGTGGGCAGGGGACTTGGACCACCAAGAGCCCTGAAGGCCCCTGGGCTCCCACAGACCCCACATCCTTGAATCCCAACTGGCTACAAGACAGGACTTCTGGCCCATTTCCCTGTGCCCGCACTTTGTTGGTGACATCTTTTGGAGGGACAGTGACATCTAGTGCTCATGTGCATATTTGCTAGCAGAAGCCAAAACGAATCCTGGACCCACTGGGCCTGGCGTGGGAAGGAAAAGGCACTGACACAGTCAGCCTGGCCACATCTCACATCCCTTTGAAACTGAACTTTGCTGAGGCCCCAAGAAGAAGTTATCCGTTTCGTATTCCCTTCAACCAGCGATCGGCTTATAACTTTTACAGAAAAGACGAATCCTACAAAGAGGGCCTAAATGAGCAGAATCAGCAGTTTCTCTAACTTAAAAGGTAAAAAAGCAAAACCACTTTTATCATGTTAACCTTGAGTAGAGACACTTTTTAATTTGGGGCAATAAAACAGAAGTTGGAGAGCAGCCCCAGTTAATTCTTACGTCATTCATTGCCCACTAGGGGTTTATTCAGCTCTCCAAGTGGGAAGCACTCCAGCTGCCAGAAGCCCCCGGAGAGAGAACAGAGCTGAGCTCTCCGTAGTTCAGAGGCTGGAACGAGGGCAGGAAGTGTCCCCCCGTCACTGGGGCACCTGTGCTGAGGTCTGCGATGGGATCAGAAAAGGAAGGAGGCCTGCTTTGTGTCGTGATGGGGGCCACTCTATAAAATGGAGGCCAGGTGGTCCCAGTTCAGACGATAGTCCGATAAAATTGTGCCCATGTGTTATCTCCAACAGCGTATTCTAGAAATGTGAAAAATTCCTGGTTCTTGGCCTGATCCGGCCCCCACACCCCACCTTGTTGCCAATATGATTTCAGGCAAAATCTCCAAGTCTGTCTGGATTTCTTGGAAGTTTGGTTTTTGACCGATTTTTGGCATTAGCTGGGAAGATGTCAAAACATGGTCTGTGGCGTCCTGAAGAAGGAAGATAACAAATGTGGGCTCATTTTCCGGGTTGGAGCCAAGGAGTCCATGGGGCTGGGGGTGGAAGATTGCTTCGGAGACCCTTCCAGGGCCACCTGAGGGTCTTGTGTTTCTCTCTGAGAAGGACAAGTTTCTGCCATCTGTAAATATGCGGTCACTCGCGCCTCGTCAGTGCTTGAGCTGAGAACCCTGCACTCCTTGGACATTTGGGGGGATTTTACATCCATTTAAAGTCAACCACCAGCCACCATTTTCAAAGTGGAAAAGGAAAACATCAGAAGCTAAGATTGCTAAATGGAGGAGGCAAACCTGAGTTTTACGTCCATGTGTCACCTGGCAGTGACAATTTCTAGGATCCAGCCGAGACCAAACTCAGAAACGTGACTCGACAGGATGGAAAACAGACAGAGGATGTGGACAACAGGTTGATGTTCCTGGACGGTGAGTCAGGAGAGCAGAGAGAGGGCGGCAGAGGGACAGAAGCCTCATGTCCCAGACTCCGTGCTTCCTCTTTTCTAATGGGTTTGACAACCGCCCCGGGAAGAGAGCACCACTGGCTCCGGGTAAAGAGGAGGAAACTGAGATGTAGCAGGTTTAAGCAAGCGGACAAAGTTCACGCAGCTGATGGACCTTTGTCCAACGCCTGTGCACGGCCTTCAAACTCACGTCATCGTCAGTCCTGATGCAGCACCTGTTACGTGAAGTGGCTTATGTTCCATCCTGACAGTGGCCCCGTGTGAGCCAGGAGCCATCAGTCCTCCTGTTGAGATAAAGACTGCAGCTTTGTGTGACCGAGTGTCAGAGTCTGTTCCAGCCGCCGTGACAAAACACCACTGACTGGATGCCTTGAACAACAGAGACTTATTCTCACCATTCTGAGGCTGGAAGTGCAAAACCAAGATGCTGGCAAGGGAGGTTTCCCTCTGAGGCTTCTTCTCTTGGCTTGTGGGTAGCTGCCATCACGCTGTGTACTCACCTGTCTTCTTCTTTGTGCTTGCAAAGAGAGGGGGCGGGGGGGGGGGTAGGTGAGAGAGACAGAGACACAGACAGAGAAAGAGAGAGAGAGAAAGAGGAAGTCTGTGTCTTTTCTTATAAGGGCACTGACCTCATCTTGAAGACCCCACCCTCGACCTCATCTACCCTAATCATCTCCCAAAGGCCTCACCTCTTCATACCACCACTTTGGGGGTTAGGATCTCAACGTACGAGTTTTGGGGGGAAGTTGATCTGACTTCAAGTTCATGGACATGTAGGAAAATGCAGGATGTGCAGGCGGAGAACCCCAGTGGGGCCTTCTGTTTAGGAGCCATCCCAGCCTAGATTCTCATGAGAGAGAATCATGGTCTTGCCTGCTCTGTGCTAAAAATGGCAGCCCAGCCCCATCCCTTCTTCTCCCACTGTAGTGGGTTGAATCGTGTCCCCCAGAAGATGTATCTGCATCCTAACGCCAGGGCCTGTGAATGTAGGCTGATTTGGAAATAGGGTCTTTAGAGGTGTAATTAGTTAAGGATATTGAGATGAGGTCATCCTGGATTTTGAGTGGGCCCCAAATCCGACCACTGGTGTCCTTATAAGAACAGGAGAGAATGCAGAGACACAGAGGGGAAGGCCACATGAAGACGGAGGCAGAGATGGCAGTGATGCGTCTAGAAGCCCAGGAACATCCACGGGTGTTCCGCTGGACAGGAAGCCACCACCTTCCAGGGAGGTCTTTTCTCAGCCTCCCCGACCATGGGCGACAGGAAGCCTGTGGCTGGCGGTCCCTCTGAGCAGTTGGCTGAGCCCGGGGCTCGTGCTGGCCCAGGCTGAGCGGTGGACAAAGGCCCCAGCCTCTGGGTGAAGCTCTGTCCGGCTCTGTTTCAGGTGCGTTCTTCACAAAGGTGGTGGATCTGGGTGCTGCGTCTCTGAAGTTGGAGATCTGGGACACGGCCGGCCAGGAGAAATACCACAGCGTCTGCCACCTCTACTTCAGGGGAGCCAATGCTGCGCTTTTGGTGTATGACATCACCAGGAAGGTGAGGCTTGCCGCGGGCATGTCCCCACCCTCCTCCGCAAGCCGTCTGCCCTGCGTCCTCCCAGGCGCAGGGACGCTGTCATCTGAAGGTGTCAGGGGACTGGTCTGTGCTGGTGCTTATGGTAAACCCCCAACAAGCAGTAGAGAACACTGCAGTGAAAGTTGGTCACTTCCTCCAGGAAGCCCTCCCTGACAACCCCTCCTTCTCCTGCATGGTGGGGTTTGGGTTCCTCTGTGGTCCTCCCAGAACATCCCACACAGAGTACCACTATCAGTTGCTCACGATTCCTTGAGTGCGGCTGAGTTGGTGAGAGGGTGTCACAGACAAGGGGCAGACGTGGCCCCTGGCTGCACGTCCCTACACAGAGCATCATCCAGGCAGATGGTAAACACAAGTGAGCAGATACTTGGAGCAGGAGAAGGGAAGGGTGGGGTTCTGTGGGAGTTGATGGGAGGGGTACCAAACCCAGCTGGGGGTACATTGTGGAAGGGCTTCCTACAGGAAGGTTCTGGCTAAGACATGGGGGAAAAGCAGGGATTAGCACTATTAGGGCAGGGGGGCAGGTCAGCAGGAGGAGAAGAGAGTTCTGGTAGGAAAGCAGAGCGTGGTGGAATTAGGGAGGGTGGGTGAAATGTGCGCAGCCACTGCGGCACTGAAAGCAGACCAGCCTGGTGAGCTTTGCTGCAGGGAGGGGAGAAGGGCCACGGGGGGCCGGGTAGGAGCCCCCGATACCTGGTCTGCAGGGTGCTGCAGCTAGGGGCATGGTTTGGGGTGATAGCCACTCCCCCAAACTCTCCTGCACAGAGGGATCCTTGAGGGCATCCAGGAGTGGAGGTCTGACTGGAGCATCCCACAGCCTCTGCCTCCCGGGCCCTGTCAGTGGGAAAAGAGGTGCCACGAGGCCCAGGCCACCCGAAGCAGGAAAAAGATCCGGCTGCGCCTCCTCAGGGGAGCAGAGCAGCCTGTGGGGGTCTGTCGTATGGTCAATGGGGTCTTGAGACATTTTACACAGTGTGGCATTGACACCTGCTCTTTCTTCCCTCTGGGAGAGCTGGTGAGACCGCCCAAGTGTTTTGTCTGGCCTGATGTTTTTTTCTTTCTTAGGATTCCTTCGACATGGTTCAGCAGTGGCTGAAGGACCTGGAGAAGGAGTTCCACCCAGGAGAGATTGTGGTGATGCTGGTCGGCAACAAGACGGACCTCGGCGAGGAGCGGGAGGTGACGTTTGAGGTAGGACTGGAGACTGGTCATGTGTCCCCCCAGAGGAGAAGGGAGTGACCCCAAAACACACACATCCACTTGCACGCACACCCATGCACACACACCACACAGATGAACACATCACACCCACCCATACACATATGCACACACACACAGCCACATACCCACACATCTGCGTGTATGCATGCACACCCACACAACCTGCCTACATATGTGTGTGCATGCATGCACCTCACACATACTCATGCTCACACACACCCATACCCATACACACACAGTCACACACCCACACACGTGTGTACATGCACCCCCCACACACACGCATTGACAGACACTCCCACGCACTTCCCATGTTAGTTTCCCTTTTGGCCAAAGATTTCTGGTTGTTCCTGGAAGGGTCGGACCCGGAGATGGTCGCTGTCCAGGGTGGGGAGAGCTGTGAGCAGCAGGCAGGCTGCCCTCCTGCGAGCTGGCCGAGGGGGGACCAGCCTGGTGTCACGCAGGGAATGGGCAGGTGCCCTGGCCAGGTCCCGGGGGTCACGAGGAAACCAGGATCCCTCCATCCCACTTCAAGAAATGTGAGTTTTTGGATCTTTTTCTTTGTGTTCAGTGAATTATTGAAGAAGGGGCAAAAGAATAAATCCAAATTTCTATGCTAGGAACTGAGCAAGGGATTAAAAAATGAAAAAAGTTGCAGTTCTGTAAAATGACCAATGGAAGACTAAGTGCAATGGAGAGATGTGTGCACAGTCTGTGCAATCCCAGAGATCTAGTGGGGTGTGTGTGTGTAGGAGTGTGTGCATAGGAAGTGTGCGTGTATAGATGGTGTTTACATGTGTATAGGAGGGTGTGCAGATGTGTGAGTGTGTGTAGAGGAGGTGTGTGTGTAAGAGAGTGTAGGAGGTGTGTGTATAAGAGAGTGTAGGAGGTGTGTGTATAAGAGAGTGTGTATGTAGGAGGTGTGTGTGTGTGTGTAGGGGTGTGTGTATAAGAGTGTGTAGGAGGTGTGTGTGTGTGTAGGAGGTGTGTGTGTAGGAGGTGTGTGTGTAAGAGAGTGTAGGAGGTGTGTGTGTGTGTGTAGGAGGTGTGTGTATAAGAGTGTGTAGGAGGTGTGTGTGTGTGTGTAGGAGGTGTGTGTATAAGAGAGTGTGTAAGAGGTGTGTGTGTGTGGGAGGTCTGTGTATAAGAGAGTGTGTAGGAGGTATGTGTGTGTGTGTAGGAGGTGTGTGTATAAGAGTGTGTAGGAGGTGTGTGTGTGTGTGTAGAGGAGGTGTGTGTATAAGAGTGTGTAGGAGGTGTGTGTGTGTGTAGAGGAGGTGTGTGTATAAGAGAGTGTAGGAGGTGTGTGTGTGTGTGTAGAGGAGGTGTGTGTATAAGAGAGTGTGTATGTAGGAGGTATGTGTGTCTGTGTGTGTATAGGTGATATGTGTGTGTGTGGGGGGTGTGTGCCTAGGAGGGTGTGTAAGGGTGTGTGTGTGTGTGTAGGTGTATGTATATGGGAGTGTGTGTGTGTATATTGGAGGTGTGTGTATAGGAGAGTGTGTGTTTATAGGTGTGTGTGTAGGGGTGGTGTTTGTGTGTGTATGGGAGGGTGTGTAGGAGTGTGTGTATATAGGTGGTGTGTGTGTAAGGGGTGTGTGTGTGTGTAGGGGTGTGTGTGTGTGTGTAGGGGTGTGTGTGTGTGTAGGGTGTGTGTGGAGAAGGTGTGTGTATAAGAGTGTGTAGAAGGTGTGCATGTGTAGGAGGTGTGTGTGTGTAGGAGGTGTGTGTATAAGAGTGTGTAGGAGGTGTGTGTGTAGGAGGGGTGTGTGTGTGTAGGAGGTGTGTGTATAAGAGTGTGTAGGAGGTGTGTGTGTAGGAGGGGTGTGTGTGTGTGGGAGGTGTGTGTATAAGAGAGTGTAGGAGGTGTGTGTGTGTGGGAGGTGTGTGTATAAGAGTGTGTAGGAGGTGTGTGTGTAGGAGGGGTGTGTGTGTGTAGGAGGTGTGTGTATAAGAGAGTGTAGGAGGTGTCTGTGTCTGTGTGTGTATAGGTGATATGTGTGTGTGTGTGGGGGGTGTGTGCCTAGGAGGGTGTGTAAGGGTGTGTGTGTGTGTGTAGGTGTATGTATATGGGAGTGTGGGTGTGTGTGTAGGGGTGGTGTATGTGTGTAGGAGGTGTGTGTGTGTTATATAGGGGTGTGTGTATAAGAGAGTGTGTAAGAGGTGTGTGTGTGTGCGGGAGGTGTGTGTATAAGAGAGTGTAGGAGGTGTGTGTGTGTGTGTGTAGGAGGTGTGTGTATAAGAGTGTGTAGGAGGTGTGTGTGTAGGAGGTGTGTGTGTGTAGGAGGTGTGTGTGTGTAGGAGGTGTGTGTGTGCGTAGGAGGTGTGTGTATAAGAGAGTGTAGGAGGTGTGTGTGGGGGGGGAGGTGTGTGTATAAGAGTGTGTAGGAGGTGTGTGTGTGTGTAGGAGGTGTGTGGGTGGATTTAGGAAAGACTTTAGGAGGGGACAAAGGAAGGAAGGGCAGGAGAGGGACAGGCAGGTGGGCTGCAGGGCGGGCTCCCGGGAGGAGGGGGAGAAGGCCGTGTGAGAGGCTTTGGGCTCAGAGGCAGAGATCCTGGCATGTGGGGTTACGGAAAGGGGGGCTCTGGAGGCAACAGCCGTCCCTGGAGGGTTTGGGGAGCTGGGGGTGGGAGTGATGGGTGATCTAGAACGAGCACTGGAGGCAAGGTAAGGGTGAGCAGGGAGACAGGGGCCTGGGCAGGCTGCCCAGCTCAGGGGGCACGAGGGGCCTTGGGCAGCGGCAACCCCTGCCTCTGCTGTCCCGGCACCCCGCCCTGGGCCGAGCCTGCCTGCCTGCAGAAGTGACACCCTGTGGCTTGGACCACATGGAAGGCCACCCTGGGGTCTGAGCTGTAGACCCCGTGGGCCCCAGGCCACCACCCTGGCCTCTTCATCCTGCGCTCCCACTCAGCACGGCCAGGGCCTGGGTGGTCAGGGGGACAACGTGCTGCCGCCACCAGCATCCCAGCCCCAGGGAGAATCGCACAGGGGGTCTTGGCTGGGGAAGAGGTGAGGCTGACCTGCAGCCAGGCATTTCTCAAATTAATTTTTGGCACTTCTTTTTAAAATAATTTCAGAATTACAGGAAATATTGCAAAAACAGTACAAAAAGTTCCCGTATGCCCTTCTCCCCGCTTTCCCAAGTGTTACCCTCTTATGTAAGCACAGGACAAGGATCAAAGCAGGAAACGAACACTCACTGGCCATCAAGAGAGATCCCTCAAGCCAGCTCCGATGACCTTTTATGTCCTTTCTACCCGCCCCCGTCATTCTTTGAGCTCTTCCTTCCTCGCTGGCTCACCAAGCTGGTCCAGGCTCATCTTGTACTTTTCTCTGCCCCCGCCCTGGAATCAGTCATTTTCTCAAGGAGCCCTGATTCCCGTTATTGGGGAATGAATCTACAAGCCCAGATCTGAGCGCTGGATATGCTCATTCCACAGAAGGGAGGTGACCATGAGCCCCGTCCTGGGGGACCTCAAGGAGACAAACTGGTAGGGGGAGGACTGAGGGCCTGCAGTTTAGGGAGTAGAGGCCCATGGGACCTGAGAACTTTTAAAGTGACCCCACCTGGAATCCCCAAGCTAGTGGGGCAAAGGGCATATTCGGGTTTCATTCACGTGACTCAGATATATGCTACTTGAAGTCTCCAGGTCTCTGAGCTGTACCAGGTCCCTTTGTCTTTCAAAATACAAATAGTATTGTCCACATCTCACAGAGGACGGGAAGCCCAGGGGCTCCCCTGGGGACTTGCAGGTCCTTGGGTCTCCCAGGCCCCTTTACTCCATATCCAGCATCGCCTAATTCCCCGTCTCACTCAACTTTGCCTCTGTGGCTGTCGTCATCTCTCCTTCTTAGCCCAACCCAACAGGCCACCAGCTACTTGATTCCACCAGCAACTCAGCAGCAAAATTGTATAGACCAAACAGTGTTTCTCTACCTGGAGGGGTGCCCTGGGGCGACATTGTAGCCCAGCCCAGCAAACAAAATAGAAAATGAGACCACTCTGTGTTGGCCCTTTCCTCCACTTGACCTTCTCCCTGGGGCCCCAGCCTCCCCAGACTCTGGGTTCTCTCCCCTTTTTTGCTGCCAACGTCCTCCCTGGCCTGCCCTTCCCCCACCCTCCCACCCTGCCCACCCACCTCCCTGTGTCTCCCTCCTACAGAGCAGCTCAGCTCTCCGTCTCCCACCCAAAGCTGCCACCTTGCAGCCCTGCCCCCGAGGTGCCACCCGTGGCAGGTCCGCAGCTCTCAGCGCTCTTTGGCAGTTTGTCCTTCCCTGGAAGTGTCCAATTCTTCAGCAGGTCTCCCTTCCCGCTCAGGAACCAGGAGGGACCTCCATGCGGGTTTTCCCTTCGCTCCTCTGAGTTAGGTCACACCCTCCCTGTGGGTGGATGCTGCATCCCCAGTTGTCGGTTGGTCTGTCTTCAATAGCATCTTCCCTTCCTGCCACCTTTAAGACGAGGGCCATGTAAGCAGCTGCAGAAAAGTGTCGGGTGGGGACGTCCCAGGGACACACCAGGGGCTGATGCAAGAGGAAGAGCTGACGCAGGGCCCAGGTGGAGGGCGCCTCCCCCAGGGGAGAGAGGGACCCACTTCCTTGGGGGGGATGCAGAAGACAGAGAAGTGGGATGAAGATTTCAGAGGAACTTGGGGGGAGGGCAGAGGGAACCCAGGGAGGCAGCATCAGTGTGGGTCCTTGAGGTGTGCTGGGGAGCCCACGGTGGAGCCATCATTGGAAATGGCGGCCAGTGGGAGGAGGCGGGGGTTTGCAGACTAGGTGAGCATGGAGCCGTGGGCGAGGGCTGCCGAAGGTCGCTGGGTGTGGGGATGGGAGGAGCAGTGGGGGATGGGAAGTAGGGGAGAGGGGAGTGTGGAAGCTCAATGGGAGGAGCGGGACTTGGTGGGTGGGCGAGGGGGGAGGGGACACCTTTTGTTGAGGCCGTGGGCATGGCCAGGTGTCATGCAGGATGGGAGCATCGCTCCTCCTTCTTGGGGAGTCTGGGAGGCTCAGGGGAGCTGCCTGCAGGGGAGGCCCCCAGGTCCTCATTCACCCCTGAGTCGTGGGTGCCACCTTGGCTTTTCTGTGGCTCCTTCTGCCCTTCGCCTCACATGGCAGCCCTGGTGTTTTCACATTCACCCTTGCTCTGTGACAGCCATCACTCCACGAAGGCCTCACCTGTGTGGGAAGGGAGGAGACCCAAGGGAGGGTCCCGGTGGATGCCCCTAGGGGCCTCTCCGCCCCTTCCCTCCAGGTTTCCTCGGCTCTGGCTTGGTTTCTTTGCTCGAGCGGCAGAGCCCACAGTTGCCTGAGACTCATGGGGGAGGGAGCCAAGGACACTGGCCTTCTCAGACTCCTCTGGGAGAGGAGGCCCCTTGAGGCGGAGCTGGGCTCCAGAAGAGCCCCCTTCCAGCCAGCGCTCCCTGTCCACCCCCTCCTCCCTGGTCTTGGAGGCCAAGAAGCAGAAGTTGAGGACCTAGGTTCTCCACAGGCTGCGGCTGTTTCTCGAGTCTTACTGTCAGCAAACAGCTGGTCAATTAGGTCTCCACAAAGCTGGAAACAAAACAGCACCCCCAAAGCTCAAATGGGAGCGTGAGGCATGAGTGGCTACTGGACACTTGAAGAGAAAGAAAAAAACGAAGGCGCCGCAGTGTTCTTAGGAAACTTTGCAAATCACGTGGGATTTCGTGGCTGTTTCCTTCAGGAGGGGAAGGAGTTTGCAGAGAGCAAGAGGCTGCTGTTCATGGAAACATCGGCCAGGCTGAACCACCAGGTGACCGAGGTCTTCAGCGCAGTCGGTGAGTGACAGGCCCCCAGGGGAGCCGGGGTGGGGGCCCACCACTGGACCTGCTCCATCGGGTCTTCTTTTCCGGGTCCTGGGACCCAACAGAACGTCTCTAGGGGCTGGAAGGGGGACAGGGGAGTCAAGGGCCTGTGTTTCACGGCTCTGGGTAAATTTTTGGCAATCGGGTCCCTGGGACTGCCTGGTGTGTGCTGGGCAGTGGGGGGACTTCCCTCCGCAAACGACCCTCCTTCTGTGATCACAGCCCGAGAGCTGCTGCAGAGAGAAGAGAGGAAGGAGGGCCAGACCCAGCGGAGAGATGCTCGGCTGGCTCTGAACGAGAGGCCCGCGGGACAGGCCAAGTGCTGTGCGCGCTAGGAGCAGCCACTGCAGGAGGGGCTGTGGGCAGGACGCCCCCAGGTCCAGCCCCGGCTGGTCCTCAGGGTGAGCCGCTGCCTGCTCCGTGTTGACGGTGGCACTAATTTTCATTCACCCTTGATGCTGCCTTGTTCCTGAGTCCTAGAGGTGACCTGAAGCGGGTATCCCGGAGAGCAGCCACTTCCCAAAGCTGACAGGAGTCATTCAGGAGAGGATCCCGTGCCACACGGCTCCCAGAGGATGTCAGCCCCGTCTCCCCAGACACCCACATACCGATTGATTCCTGGATACTCGGGCCACGTGGGCCTACCGCTGCCTGGATTGCTGTCCCCTCAGCTGCCTGGCCATCAGTTACAGAGGAATGAAATGGGTTAGAAGGGAGACAAGGAGCAGAAAGATACTTGGATCACTGTCGTGGATCACTGTGGTGGCTGGACAGTCACCTTACACCTGCTGTTGGGCAGGGGCTGCCTGGTGGCCGGGCCCACCTGCTCCTGGGAGGTGGGAGAGGAGGGAGCAGGCCCAGATGGAGGCAGCAGTGTCTGGAAGAAATGGAGCAGCCGTGGGGGGCTGGGTCCATCTCCTCCGGATCTCAGTGAGTGGCCCCCAGGAATGACAGCATCTGCCAACGAGCAGCCAGGGGCCCTCTTCTGGCTGTAAATTTGATGACCCGATGCTTGTGCCCAGTGAGCGTGAGGATTCAGACTTTTGACCTGAGGTATAAGTGGTACTCTCTATGCGTTTTTCTCCAAAAGTTAAACCGCTTTCTGTAATCTGGTCTTTGGTGAGTTGGCAAGGTGGGGTTTGTTATGGCGCATATTCTAGGGGGACTCATGGTGAGTAAGTCAGGATGTAGGCCCATGTGGCAGGCTGTGACTACACTGGGCATGGGCCATCTCTCTGCTGGTGACACGTCATGTATTCACCTCATTGCTGTGGCCTTTACAGAGGCCCAGATGGTCACTCTGGAAGGTGAGCCCTAGTGGCAAGGTGAAGGTATTTCAAAGGCTATTTTTGGGGGGTTAGTGTTGATTTTCATCCTTGCTTCTGGGACTCTGATAAGCAGATCTGAAATTTTAAATCATAAGACACTTTTATCCATCTGAAAAGGGCGGCTCCAGGACATTGACTATAAGGATGGACAGAAGGACAAATGCATAGCATCCTTTTCCCTTGACTCTGAACTTCCTGACAGACCAAAAGGGTGCTCCAGCGTTCCGAGGGGCTCCTTCCGTCTTCTCCTCCAGGCTTGCTCTCTGCTTTTGTTCAACCTACATGGGAACATCATCCCAGCCCCTGGGCCTGGAACTTGGGTGCAGCTCAGCCGACGAGGAGCCCTGGCAGGGTATGGACCAGGGCATGGACACCAGGCATTGGCCAGGATCCATCTCAGTGAGGTCACGTCAGCATGGCCTGTCCCCACCCAAGGTCACAGCTCCCCTCGAGGAGGCCTCCCCTTCCAGGATCTGGCCGTGGCTCCCTCCCTCGTGTCAGTCCTGGGGCTGCCATGCTCTAACCACACCTTGGCAGGCGTTATCCTCGCTGGGGGGAGTTGGGTCCCTGGCAGATCCAGCTTCTGTTCCGGGAAGATGGAAACAGCCCATGTGTCCCACGGATCCAGACTTTCCTGATGCTTCTCTTGAAAGAAACTTCTCCTGTGATCTTTCTAAACAAAAGCAGATTTCACAAGCCTCTTCCCTGTGATGATCTTCGAGAAAAGCTAAAGGATAAATAAAAATAGCTGCCGAGACAGCCTGCTCCCTTGATGTCACTCACACTTTTTCTTAGACAATGTCGTAGGTGAAACCTGGCAGCTTGTGGCTGCGTGTGTTGCACTTTCTGAATGCAGTGAAGTTGGACGGTTTTCCATATGATTATTCCCTCGTAGATGAAGTATGTGAGGTGTGAGTCCCTGGTGTGCCAGGCTGCATCCTCAGGGCTGCGGACCCCTCTGCACCAACCAGGAGAGATGGACCCACCTTGGAGGCGGCGGGAGGCCCAGGCTGCTCTGGCCACTAGATGGCGCTCCAGCCTCGTGTAAGGCAAACCCAGCACTCCCAGGTCCTGCAAATGTTAGTTCTGCAAAAGGCAAGGCTTTCAGAGGTATTTCTGATGAGTGGGTGGATGAAATAGGAAGTGGGAAATAACGATGATGTTCGCAGGATGTCTGTATCTCTTTGCCTATTTCCCTCCTGTCTTGTCAAGCTGGTATCACTGTGCTAGAATTTATTATTAAACCATATCCTCGGATGCATTCCAAGGCATCCTTTCACGGCGCCCCAGACTGGACGGGGTGCGATGTGGTCCCGCAGCCAGGGTTCCCTATTGCCCGGGATGTGATGGCCCCTTCCCCTCTTCTCCTCTCCCACGAAGCAGGTGAGGCTCAACCCTGCATTGGAATCACCTGGGAGCTTCTGCAAGCACCATCTCCGCGCCCAGAGAGGGTCTGATTAAATCTGTCTGCAGTCCGGCTCGGGCCCTGGGAGTTTTGAGCCCCCCTAGGTGAACCTAATATTCAGGCCAGGCGGAGAACCGCCGAGGGCAGAGGTTCTGTCTGTCCTTCTGAGGGATGCCCCGTGCATGGTACAGTGTCTTGTCCATGCCAGGTGCTCACCCAAGCAAGAGGATACAATTTTTTTCCCCCCAGAGATCTAAAATGGCAGGCTTTTGTAGAAACAGCCCCCACCATAACCGACAGATGTTTATGGAAGGCTATCTCTGTGACAGAGCTTCACCCCCCTTATCTCAGCCCCTTCCGGGAACATGTGGTGGGGGGGTGGGGGCAGGGGGCGTGGAGCACGCAGAGAGATGAGCGATGGGCTGGCAGGCACGTGGCAGATACTCTTCAGGATAAAGGGTTCCTGGACTGCGCTGGCCCCGGGTCCTGGGGGAGGCCAGTCTGGGAGCCCACAGTCCTGCCCACTGCCTGGGAAGCTGCTCTGGCCCTTCTCAGCCTGAATGTGGACCTGAGTCCTATCCTGAGCTGGTGTGTGTGTGTGTGTGTGCTTGTGTGTGTGCACATAGTGGAGGCAGGAGGCACGGAGCCATTGATAAGCGGCATCTCAGGGTAACCCTGCTGACCTGCCTGTGACTGAGAGCTTTCCCATTCTTCTGTTTCAGTTGAACGTGTTCCCTCCGGCTCCCCTGGAAGAGACCCCTTTGCCCAGAGGGGCTGACTCAGAGACCCATTCTTCTTTTAAAATTTGTTCCCTTCTTGGGGCTTCCACTGGCCAAATTTAAAACAATTTGAGTATCCAAAATTATTTGTAAGATGTTAGACAAAAAGAAAATAAAAGAGGAAAGAAAAAGAAAGGAGAGAAATATCTCCTTTGGAAGAATCCGGCTAATAAATGCAGAATTAGAGAATCAGCGTTGCGTGACAATGCAACAATGTAACATTCGCTCCTGTAACAATCTGCTCAGTAACCATCGCTCCCAGCAAGGCTCTTCAGTGGGGGCTTACACCACTGGTTGAGAGCTCTTTCGGAATCAGGCTCTTGCCTCGGGGCTGGGGCATCTGCAGATGGCATGGTTAAAACCCCTCACAATGGAGAGATCCTCCTCAACCACGTGGTCAGATGCGGTGTCTGTCAGAGAGAGACTGGGGGACCCACTACCAGATATGATGTCCTAGGAGGGACACAGCGTTTGTGTGCACAGTGAGCAACCGAATCCAGTGAAGGCCCCAGATCTACCCCTCAGGTTACAGGAAATACGAGGACAGAACAGGTGATCGCACCATGGGGCAACAATCGACAAATCGCATGTGTGGATCATTCTAAAAGATAACGTGGCTGAGTGGTTAAGTTCGAGGCTTGCGGGCTCCACTTCGGGGGCCCAGGGATTTCGCCAGTTTGGATCCTGGTTATGGACCCAGCACCGCTCATCAAGCCATGCTGGGGTGGCATCCCACATAGCACAACTAGAAGGAATTTCAACTAGAATATACAACTAGGTACTGGGGGGCTCTTGGGAGAAGAAGAAAAAAAAGAAGAAGATTGGCAACAGATGTTAGCTCAGGGCCAATCTTTAAAAAAAAAAAAGACAACATGTCTGGGATTTCGTAAAAGTCAGTGTTGCCACAAAATAAGATCAGGGACCAAAGAGAAAGAATTAACTGCAGCTGTGAATTTAGATTGGCGCCTGGTTTAAAAAAAAAAAGGCACAACTGAGACTTTCTTGCTGTATTGAGGATTTTTGAATATGGACTAAAAACTAGATGATGTGAGGGAATTATTACAGTTTTTAGGCATGATGATGATTTTGTGGGTATGTAGGAGACTGTCCTGATTTTGTTGGTGAGTATTTGGGTTGTTTCCAGCTTTTTGGCTATTGTGAATTGTGAGGCTATGAACATTCCTGTGCAAGTCTTTGTCTGAACTCCCGTTCTCGGTGCTGTGGGCTACACACCCAGGAGTGGGTGGACCATATAGTTGCTTGATGTTTACCTTTTTGAAAAACCGCCAAACTCTTTTCCTGGCCTGTGGGCTCTTCCAGGCCTGGCCTGGCACCTGCCTGGCCTTGGAGCAGGCCTGGCAACCTCTCCTGTTCCCACAGGCTCATTCCACCCCGGGGAGGTGCTGACAGTGGCAAGGGCTCTCTCCTGGGAGGAGACTGGCCCTCTACCCTCCCCTGACCTCCTTGTGGCTGGGGAGGTGGGGGAGCCCTGTGTGCACCTCATCTGGGTGGTCTGGGTGGGCTCTGCCTACCCTCACTGGCCGGTGAGCTGCGGACGCTCCTTCCTTGGGGTCCTTTGGGCCCGCTCTGGGTCCTGGCCACCAGGCCTCCTGAGCGTGGTTGGACAGCAGGAGTCCTGCGCTCACAGTGGGCTTCTGAGACCCTGCAAGCAGGGTGCAGGCAGAGGCCCTAGCTTCGAATCTGGATATCACTGGTTAAACCTGTGCCCCCCGCGCTGGACTGAGAGAGGGCCTTGGGGAAGCGGGTTTACACCCCACGCTGGCCGGTGAGCAGGTGCTGCGCCCACCCGAGCTCAGAAACTTTATGTCCCAGGGTGTTCAGATGAGGAAACTGAGGCTCAGAAAAGTAAGGGCTGGGCTCAGTTGCCCCGTTAGTGGTGGTGTGTCCCCTGACACCACAGCAATTACACCTGAGGCAGGACACAGAGACATTCCCATGCAGTTAGAATCAGGGGCGAGAGGGACGCGATGTGGGGTGGAAGCCATCCAGATTCAGGTCTTCTTGCTGTGGATTGGAGACAAACAACCCACGGTTCTTTTTCTCTCCTAGAACCAACAAGGGAGGCAGAAGGACTGGGGCTGAGAGAGGGGCTGGTCAGACCGAGGGGCAGTGCTGCCCTCCTCTGGGGGCTTCCCGCAGGACACAGGGTGATGCGCAGCATCCCTGGCCTCGTTCAGTGTGCAACCTGGGTGACCATTCAAGACAGCTTGGGTGGAGGGCGCTACAGGCTGCAGGTGACCAGGGACGGTCCCAGTTCCCTTACTCAGTGCTACGTAAGTCACGGCAAGTCATGGATCCCGTGGGCTGCTGGGCTCTGAGTGTCCTTCCAAGCTCACATCCCACGAGGGCAAAGCACCTCCTGCTTTGTCACCACACAGACGCATCTAAACAAGACCAGCTGCTTTTATTAGGATGGAAGGGAAAGTAGCCCGTGGAGGAGAGAGTGGATGGAGGGGGGAAGGATGCTGGAGTTTTCTTCCATGAGCTGGGCTGTCACTCATCCTGGGAGGACTCAGCGCCTCCTTCCAAGAGGAGGCAGACCTGCCGGTGCCTGAGGCTTGGCTGCAGCCCCAGGGCTGCTCCCCTCCTGCCGAAGCGGCCCACTGGTCGGATTCTGCGGCCCATGTACCAGGCAGGATCGATGTCAGGGGCTGGAAAGGAAAGAGCAAGAACAGTGTATAGATATGCCCTCCCTGGCGTGTGCGCCGTGTGCTCCCGCAGGCTGCAGGGTCCAGCACACACGCTCAGCTCACTGCTTCCCCATCACCCAGGCCGTGCTGGGACCCACCTGCAAAGCAGGGGACATACAGAGGGTTTGATGGGGCCATCTGTGGGTGATGGGCTGGCTTTGGGAAACAGGAATTCGAACTCACTCCAGGACCAACTCGCCCCACCCTCCCCACCCTGGTTCCCGTGGGGAAAGCCAGTTCGTTCTGCCAGGCCGCCCTGGTGGAGAGAAGTGAACCCTTCACCTGTGTGCTGGGCAGGGGCACTGGGGAGCAGGTGACAGGGCCACTCAGGGGAGAGGCCTGGTGAACAGGAGGCCAACCACCCAGAGCTGGGGCACTTAGCGAGACGGTGGCCCAGGTTTGGAGGAGGTCACGTTCCACCCATGGCACCTGGGACTGGAGGGGCGGAGGAGGGAGAGGGAGGCTGATGTCCGGGGTCTGGACACTCACTGCGGATCTCCATGGAGTGCTGGTGGGCTCGGCTCGCAGCCCCCTGAAGGGCCAGGCCCAGCAGCAGCAGGCACAGGAGCCAGGCTCGCGTTGCCTTCATCCCCCTGGCTCCTTGCGGATGCCCTGCTGGAGGTGGGGTTCCACACGGAGGGCGCGGCCTGGGGCAGAGGGGCAGGAGCAACGTGAAGCCCACGTGAGGGTGTGTACTCACAAAGCTGGGAGCCTTGGAGAATGCGAACACTGTGTGGGAGTGTATGTGCACGTGTGCATGAGTGTGAGCATCACACGTGAGTATATGTGTGTATGTGTGTGCACTGTGTACGAGAGGGTATATGTGTGCATGCGTGTGTGTGTGCACCTGTGTGCATGAGAGAGCGTGTGTATATGTATGACAGTGTGTGAGTGTACGAGATGTGTGGGTACGTGTATGTGCACTTGTGTACGTTGAGTGTGTGTGCATGTGGTTACATGCTTGTGCATGTGCATTGTGTGTTTGTGTGCATGTGTATGTGTGTGTGCATGCAGCCACACTCCAGTGTGCATTCCTGTGCTCTGTGTTGGGGTGGAAATGAGCAAGGAAGTAAAAAGCTAGGTTTTTGCAGGATCCCCCGGCCTCCCTGGGACCCCGTGCTCTCCTCCATGTGGCGAGAATTAAATGAGGCGACCGTGTACAGCTCAACCTCTGGTGGGCTCAGACATCAGAAGGGACCTGGGAGGCATATGAGCTATGGATGTAGAGAGGTGGGCTGTCTTGGAACAGCCTCAGGCTGCCTGGCTGTCTATGTTAGGGAACCAGGAGGTGTGGGAGGCCTCTATACTGCTGTGTGTGCTGCACACCCAGACAGGAAGGGCAGAGACGAGCAGGTTTGAGGGGAGCTGGCCCTGAGGAGCCCAGGGTTGCTGCAGAGGTGAAGGGGGTGCCTTGCCAGGGAGCTGGGGGTGCCGAAACCCCCATGGGCTGGGACCCTGGTGCAGGGTTCTTTCCCTCACTCTGCCCAGGGCCTGCTGATTTCCAGTTTCATCCTGCCCCCATGCCCGCACTGGAGGACATCAGCTGACAGCCAGGCATTGTAGACGGGTCAGCATTCTCCAACCTTACCAAGAGCACTCGCTCTCCCTATGACCCCCAGATCTGATCTGCCGGGTCTTCAAGATAAACCTGGAACATGTGGGACCTGCTCTCACACAGCAGGACAACCTCACTACAGATGGTGTGGGGAGAGGGGGCTGTGGGCAACAGAGGTACCCAGGACATCCACTTTTCACCTGGCCAGAGTGAGGTGCTAATGTGCCCAAACAGCATCCATCTGGCAGAGCCGGCAACTCCTCCCGCAGGCGCCCCCACCTCATGGGGCTGGCTGCCCCCGCAGGTGCCCTGACCTGTGGCACTTCAGGAGCCCTCTCTGGGTTTCAGGGTTTCAGGGAGGACCACTCTGCCTACCTTGACTTTCCAGCCTGTCTCTGAGCCCCACGGAAAGTGCTCTCCATCTGAGGAGTTTAAAATGCCTACCCCTCTCCCTTCTGGGGACTTGTTGGGGTGTCACACAAGGGGTGAGGTGGGGGACCCCGACTTGGAGGAAATGGAGGTGCCACCACGAAAGCAGAGTAATGAAGAGATGCATCCAAATGGGCAGAGACCCCTCGCTGGGTGGAGGGCGTCTTAGGAGAACGTTAGTGGCGCCTGGCTCCTGATCCCCAAGGACCTGCTGCCCCACGAGTTGGAGGTTTTTGCTGTCTGCCCGGTGGGATCCCTGGTCTGCATTCCCAGTGGAGTTGCAGAGTAGCCTTCACCATGGACGTGCTTGAGCATCGGGGCCCTGGGTTGGCCGGGCACAAACCCTGGGGTGGCTGCCCCTGCCTGTCCTGCCCAGAGCTGGCCCTGGCTGCTGGAGAGCAGGCACGACCTTAGGAGAAGCCCGCCGCATGCCCCACGCCCCACGCCGAGAGAGAGAGAAGATTTACAGAGAAGGAGGGCAGAGGAACAGACTCCCGCGCCCTGCAGCGCCTGCCTCGAGGGCTACTCACCGCGATTCCCCACGAGGGTGGCGAGCACACTGTGCAGTGGCCGCAGCGGTGACCCAGAAGGGAGCCAGCTCACCTCCTTTTATAGATGGAGGAGCAAGCAGCCCGCCTCCCGGATGCCCCCTCATCCCTCACCTCGCCCGCCTCCCTCGCAGGAGACAATCATTGTCTTTTATCTCTTCTTTTTTTAAAAAACTCTCATCAGTGGCGTAATTTTTCCCTTGCTGGGTTATATAATTTCATTTGGACCGAGTGGCTTTAAAACACATTAGCCTGCCTTCTTCACGCTGGCCTTTGGGAGGACTGCAAAGTCAGGCGCCACCGGTCCACGGAGCATGGAGCTGCCAGTGCCGAAAGGGGCCCCTGAGGCCGCTGCTCCCCACTCCTCCTGTAAATCGGGTTTCCAGTGGAAGGAAGTCACCCCAACTGTTCCATCTCTTCGTGATGCTTCTCAGACCCTGCTCCATCCTCCACCTGGCTTTCCATCGTTGCATCCTTTATGCAAACCACTTTCCACTTTTGTCCTGTTTCTACAACTTAAAAAATATTTTTTCTAGGCTTTGACAGTCTTCATAATTAATGTTCAAGATAAAAAAGTGTATTATCATAAAACAAATGCGTGTACTTTTACTATAAAATAAACAATAATCAAGTTTGTTTTATGATAAAAGCCATTTATACAATACATTTGGACAGAGTTTAGTGCATACAGAAAAGAAGGAAAAAAAGCATGTGTAATGCCAAAAAAGCCAATCATTTTTCACACGTGACATATTTGCTTCTAGTGGGTTCCCCATGTATTTTCTGGGTAGAGTCATCATATTTACACACTTTGAATCTCTTTCTTCTCATTTAACCGTCGTGGCCTCAAGCTGTTAAAAAATTTGTTTATTTGTGCCATTTTAACCAATTACACAATATTCTCCCATTTAACCCGGACCTAAGACTCTAAGTCATTCTGAATAATTAGGGGTTATATTCAAGTGCCTCTGAGCATAATCTTACAGAACCTGTCCTGGGAGAAGAGAGTTTGTGGGTTGCTCCCCACCGATGGGAGCAGAGGGGCAACTCGGCGTTTCATGTGCCTCCGTCAGACTTCTAGAAGCTTCGAGCAGTACCTCCCCTTCAGTGGATCGATCACACACACTTCTCCCTTCTCCTGCAGCTGCCGGTTCCTGGTGATGAAGTTTCGTGGCCGAGGGCTCCCTGGGGGGAGGGGGGTGCTGATGAAGGGGGAGTGTAAGAGCATGGGGGATGGCGGCCGGGTGCCGGGCTCTCACTGGGCTGCAGGCGAGGGTCGCTGGGGAGCTTGCAACATTCCTAGTGCCTGGGGCCCCCTTGGGTGGGTGGATTCCATCAGGATTCCTGGGGGTAGCTCAGGGTCAGGGCTGGTCGAAAGCTCCCAGGTGGTCCTTACGAACAGTGGTGATGGTGATGGACATCTGCTGTCACGAGGTGTGCTCCTGTGTTGGAGGCGGGTCCTCTGGGCGGTCCTCAGGGATGTGTGCCTAGTACCACGGCTGCCTGGGGCAACAGAAACCATGGGACTGCGGGAGCTGGAGGCAGCCTCCTGGGACTCACTGTTGGAGCATGCGTGTGCTCACTTGCGTGTGTGCACATGTGCATGTGTGTGTGTGTGTGTGTGTGTAGGAGGGATAGCGAATCCCCCCCTTTCAGCAAAGTATCTTCAGCACAGCGTGGTGTTGGTGCCTTGCCACTTTGGGGGCCCAATGATGGGGGGATGTAGCAGTCAGGGTGGGAGGTGGCACAGGCATTGTGGAATCACTCATCCCCTCCACCCACCCAGTGTAGAAGCTGAGACCTCAGTGCTGCCAAGAGAAGGAAAATAATGCCCCCTCGCCCCTCCACCCCCAATAGCGTCTGGCAGCGCCCATTGGAGGATCGTGCTTAAAGATCACTTGGTTCCAGCCAGCCTGCTGAATGCCGAGCGCTGGGTATCAGACACCAAGCTCATGCAAATTCTATTCCACCTCTGGGGATGGGTTATTGGGCCTCCAGTAATACCGGTTCTTCCACACAGTGCTGCTGGGAAGCGAAAGTCCCTGGAACTCACTGAATTACGGCTTGATATAAAATTGCGGTGGAACTGCGACACTCTAACCTGTGGTGGGCTTGAGGCCTCATGAGTCCCGGGAGAGACAAGGTGGGAAACTGTGCTCTCCCCAGCAACCCGAGGGGAGCTGGGCGTCCTCGGAGATCTGGGTGCTGGACCGTAATCTGTCGGACGCTAGAATATCTGAGCAGAGCCACCTGTGCTGCCCACTCAAAGCTCGATTCTAACCATGAAGGATCTTTGAGGGATCTGTGCATCCAGCTCCTCATAAAGCTTTCTCTCTTTTCCCTGATGAAGACAGTTGGAGGATAAACCTTAGGAGAAATGTTTTAACTCCTGTCTCTGATATCCACCTGGAGGCATAATAAAACCATTGACTTATTTATTTTTTTCCCCAGATTAGCCCTAAGGTAACATCTGCTGCCAATCCTTTTCGTTTTTTTCCTTATTGCTTCTCTTGCTCTTTGGTTGGAACAGGTGTTCAGCTTGGTGTGTGCGAAAGTCGTTGGTCCCTGACCTGCCTGCATTCAGCGCCCAGTAAAGATGTCTCTGGAATGGCCATCTGCTGGAAAAAGGAACTCCAGGGAGCAGGCCTGGTCACTTAGTGGTTAAGTTCTCACGCTCTGCTTCAGCGACCCCGGAGTACATGGGTTCAGATCCCCCTTGCGGACCTATGCACTGCCCGTCAAGCCATGCTGTGCCAGCATCCCACATACAAAATAGAGAAAGATTGGCCCAGATGTTAGCTCTAGGGCAGTCTTCTTCACACACACACAAAAGGAAAAGAATTCTTCAAATAATGGAATTTATAAATAATATTGGGAATGATAAGAAAAACTTCCCTCTGATGCCATGGGGAGCAAGAAACACAGCTGTCAGTGTGGGTTCCTGTGTCTCCTGAAGACGCAGGGGGTCCTGTCTCCCAGTGACAATCCCAGTTGGGATTCGAACCTTAGTTTTGGGTGAGAGATTGGAGAGCAACTCAGGGCGTGTCCTACTCAGCAAGGGCAGGAAACGCCTGTGGGGTCAGCCCTGGGGACGCAGGCTTGACTCTTGTCTCTGTTGCCTGTGTGATTCCAAAGGACGCGGCCCCCCCAACCCAGGGGAGTGCAGCCTCGGGGCTCTGTCTGTGAGCTCCCAGCATCACCCGTGGAAAAGCCAGTGGTGAGTGGGTGGTTTGACAGCGCTTTGAAATTATAACTGCTACAGCCACAGTGAGCATCCCTCACTCTGCCTGGTGAACACGGTCCTCCTCATGCCTTAGGCTGTCCATGGGCCATTGCCTCTCTGAGACGGTCACTCGTGCTCGAGACCCGGATGCTCTCTTGCTCCTCCTCTGGGACACTCATATCCCAATCATGGATTGCGTGGCTGTTATTTGTCAGCACGTCTGCCATCTCTTGGAAGATAGGGAGAGAGCTGGGCCACCACCAGATGCTTGAGCCTTATCTGTGTCTGGAACACAGCAGGCGCTTGGGGATGCCCATCCACATGGGCCCTGGGCAGAGGCCCCTCTGGTGGCCAGAACAGTCGGCGTGAGCAGGGGCCCAAGGGGTGCCCGGAACACGCCACCTAACCTTTCCCTTCCTCCCAGTCATTCTTGGTCCTTTGCATATAAATGTTTACATGTGTGAGCAGATACATCATTCAAATTCTAATTTTTATATTATCTTAGTTGTTTTTCCATTTCTTTGTTCAATAGCATCCACGAACATGGCAAAAAGCGTCGTCTGGTCCACTCCTGCCTAAACCCCTGTAGCTTATAACAGGAGCTGAAAAGACACGGACCCAGCTGCCCTGAGACACAGCCTGAGGGTCATCGTGAAGAATTCCTGAGGCCACGCCAAGGCTCGTGAGAAGCAAGCTGCAGTCAAGTAGCAATGTCCGCTCAGGAGAGGGCACGGGGAGTAGCATTGGCAGTTTACTGGACATACCTCATATGGCATAAAAAAATACTGTCTTTGGAATTCCTACAGCTCTGAATTTGAATTCTGGCTTCATGCATACTTGGATGGGCAAGTCATGTGACTTTTTGAAATTTCCATTTTTTCATGCGTAAGACAAGCTGAGGACGCCTACCTCGCAGGGCTGTCGTGTGAATTAGTGATAAGGATGCCTTTACTGGCTTGGGGTCCAAATATGGTCACTTCTCTAGTTTTTCCAATGAAACTCTTCTGTGCCCACCAGTCTGGATCATTCGGGAGGCTTCCCACATCCCAGAAAAACCAAGAGCCCTGGGGCTCGCTCAGTCTAAAACAGTCACTCCTGCTTCCCAGGGTCAGGTGGGAGGGAAGTGCACGGCCGTGGCTGCGGCCACTGGATGTCCCTGCTGAAAACCAGCAGTCTCATGGCTGCATGTCCATTGCTGGGGTGGTGCCCTGGCTGCTGCGGACCCCACAGTGCAGCTGCCTCATGCTCAGGCTCCCAAATGACTGCTCAGTGAGGTCACACGCACAGCTGCTGTTCCTGAAGCCTTTCCACTGTGTCCAGGCAGGCTGGGCCCTGGGCGTCCAGTCATGGCCCCTCACTGCACTGGCACCAGTCTGCGCCTCCCCCATTGCCCTCCCTCAACTGGCAGCACTGGAGGTTCATCTGCACAGAGTGGGTGCTCTGGCCTTGAGTGGGGCAGTGAGCGCCAAGTCTCCTGCTACTGGGCAAAGTCAGACAAGCAACCCGAGAGAGCTCTCCATGAAGGTGGGGGCCGGGAGGACAAGAGGCGGCATGACAGTGCCCCTGGGATGGGCCAGGAAGGGAGGCTCCCCTGGCACTCAGGAGGGAAGCGTGTGCCCGGGGCCAGGCTGCAGAGGGAATCCCGGGCTCTCTGCAGAGGCTGGAGGAGCAGGGCGTGCACCCGAGAGCAGGGGGTGCACCCGAGAGCAGGGGGTGCCCGTCATCCTTGCTCCATATTCTCTTTTAGAGTCTTGGATGGGGGGTTCCACTGATCGATTTCTGTTAACAAATGTAACAGATTTCCTAATTTAATTATAGTGAGTTGAATGTTGGCTCCCCAAATCCTACATCCATGTCCCAACTCCTGGAACCCGTGAATGGGACCTCATTTGGGAAAACGGTGTTTGCACATGTAACTAAGCTAAGGATCTGAAGAGGAGGAGATTCTCCTGGATAATCCAGACGGGTCCTAAGTCCAATGACGAGTGTCCTCATAAGAGAAAGGCAGAGGGACACTTGAGACAGACAAAGAGGCTAAGACGCAGAGAAGAGAAGGCCGTGAAGACGGGGCAGAGATGGGAGGGATGCAGCCAAGGAAGGCTGGGGACACCCGAAACCGGAAGAGGTGAAGGACAGATTCCCTCCTGGGGCTTCTGGAGGGAGTGCAGCCCTGCTGCCCGACACCTTGATTTTGGACTTCTGGCCTCCGACACTGTGAGACACCAAGTTTCTGTTGTTTTAAGTGGCCCACTTTGTAGTAATTTATTAGCGCAGCCAGGGTGGCCATTGGGGGCTTAGAGCTGCGCATGCCCTGTCCCAAGATATGACGAGTTCAGCTTTTGTCTAGATGGTGAGTTCATGATGTGCTGGCTCCTTTCACCAAACCAAACCCAGAGAAATCATGGAACAAAATCACGAATGATCCCAAAGTGCGAGGAGGCCTGTGGGGAGGCGGAGGGCTGCCCGGGATGGAATGCTTGGGGCCGTGGTGACGCTGGCCCGTGGGAGAGGCTGGCCGGGTGGCCTGGAGGAGACAAAGCAAAGGAACATTTTTAGTTCTTCTGTCACTCTGGCTGACCACTGCCTGGAGACAGTCCTCGCCAGCCCCTGATGCACAAGTCAGGGGCAAAGGCTGGGACCAGGGGCCAGCAAACTTTTTCCATAAAGGACCAGATAGCAAATATTCAACTCTGTAAATATTGGACTCCATGATATCCAATACAGTAAGTGTTCAATTCAACCACAGACAACAAGGAAATATGCGGGTGTGGCCAGATTTGCTGACGCTGGCTGGACCGCCAGGGAAGGCTACAGCAGGGGCTTTAGAGAAAACAGGTGGCTGAGCTGCTGTGGACATCTGGATGTCGTCCTTCAGACAGAAAGGATCCCAGGCGTGTGTGTGTGGGGGGGGGTTGGGTGGGCAGCCTCCTCTCGAGGTCCCCAGGGTCTTGAAGGTGGAAGCGAAGGGGCTTGGCATGGTGTTTGTGGTGACCCTCCTACTGACTATCCATGGACAGTCAGAGCAGCCACTGATCCCAGGGGACACAAGTTCAGAAGTCACAAGGATGACGTCAAGAGAAAAACAATGCACTGGATCACATGTGACATGGGAAACAAAGGCACGGAACCAATGCAATAAGATACGGCTGCAAAATAAGCATGAAGATACTGAAAGGGATGAGAGAAGGGAGGAAGCACGTGAAACGAGATCTGGACATATGGAAAATAACCAAGTGGACAGGACATCTTCGGCATAAAAACGCATTTCACATGAGGAACACACCAGCTGACGAAATGGGAGAGTAGAGGCGTGGAAATGGGGGGGGGGGCGTTCTGCACACATACATGGAGTGCAGAGGGGCCAGGGATAGGACTTAGGGGTGAAAGACAGGGGTAAAAAATGAGTCCAAGCCTTTGCCCGAACCCCTGGAAGGACGGGGCTGACGTTAGCGGGGTAACAGCGTTTGCGGGTTAGAGTCCAGTTGGACAGGGTTACTGTGGGAGGCTGGAGGAGGAGGCGCTGGTATGTGGTGTGGGACTCGGGGTGTCTGGGCTGCACTTCCAGCCCGTGGGTGCCTAAAGCCATAGGACTCGATGGGGACAGACAGGAGGTTCAACATCAAGGGGGCTGGGAGAGGCAGAGGAAACAGCGCAGGAGGCTGGGAAGGAGAATTCCTATCTTCAGCGTCCTGTCAAGTACCCACAAGATTAGTACAGATCACTGAGCCTCGCACACTGCTGGGCCCCTCTATAGTGCTGGTGAGTGAATGACTGACTGACTGACTGACTGAATGAATGAATGAGTGTGTGCTCTGACTGTAACTGGCACTGAGAGACAGCTCAGAGACCCCTGAGAAGGTGCATTCTGCAAGAGGAGCCAGTACATTCAGAAGTTGGAAGTTCTCTGTGCCCCAGTGAGTAGCGGAGCTAAATGGCCACCGAGGTTCTGGGACCCAAGGACAAGTTGTCCTATTATATTAACATTCAGGGACAGGCTCAGGGCCAGCCAGGACTGTCTCTTCAACTCTTAGGAACTCTGTTGACTTTAATATACTTTGTGAATAAGGAGAGGGGGTGCATAAAAAAAGAAATTGATCCCCTTTCATTTCCAGGAATCGTTGAATGGTTTTTTAGCACTGAATGAGGAGCTGCGTATTTTAACCAGCTTCTGTGCTCAGAAGGAGTATCAGATCCGTCTTCTCCACAAAGCCCAGCTCGACCTGAAGCCTTGTCATTGGGATCAACTCCGAGGCGGGTTTCTGAGACGCTGCATCTGCGCCTGGAGCGGCCATGCGCCAGCCCGTTGACGACCTGAGCTTCGTGGGGACTGTGAGGTTTCGGGCTCAACGCCAGTGGAAAGCTGGGGGTGTAGGGTCTACACAACTGTGGGATGGGGCTCTGCCAACAGTCAGGTCAGAAGAAAGCGTCATTATCAGAGGCCCTTGGGCATCATTTCTCCATCATCTTCTTTTGGTCACCATTTCAAGTGAACACAAACACCAAGAGATTTGAGAGAGAAAAGTTAAAGCTGACCCCAAAGTCCCTTTGGAAAGTATCAGAGGATTGGCAAAGGAGCTTCTGGTTCCAGGGGAGGCGGCCCCATACTCAGCATGGGCTGAAACATAATTGGAGGATGAAATGAAGGAGTCCCTGTGAAGGACACAGCCATGCTCAGTGAGGGGGAGATGCCATTACTGCTCCTGTGTTCAAAGGCAGCTCTGGAGGGTCCCGGGGGGCTGCCCTTGAAACTGGATGAGTCACGCAGACACCCAGAAATAACTCTGAATCCTAGACTGTCCCAGGTGGAGGAGAAGTTGGAGCTCATCTACGGAACTGATGGCAAGTGGCTGGCAATTATTGGCAATAATTGGTCCTGGCCCTCTGTCCTACTGGATCCACCGTAGTGAGAGGTACTGCCAAGTGGATCCCAGTCTTCCACCCGCCCATCTAGAGCTCCATCCACTGCCTTTCCCATCAGGTCCTCTGCACCTGCATCTGGGCATTGATCCACTGCTCACTTGCCACCATGTGTATGCTCTGCCCTTGACCACAGTGTAGTCTCTCCTGGTCTGTGAACCACAGGTGAACTCACAAACTGGTGTGTGCGTGGGGCGGGGGTTGCGGGGTCTATCCCTCCTTCATTTTTCAGCTGGTCATGAGTTCAGCCACTTGTCTGGATGCCCAATTTCCTTCTCCAATCACACCCGCACAGAAACACACACATCTACCCACGCTCCGATATACATAGTCAAGAATATAGAGACAGCAGGTACCATACTGAGTCATCCCTTTTCTGTTCCATTCATGAAAGCAACAGAAGAAAGCCAGCAGGGAAAGGGGTAAAAGTCCACATTGAAAAAGTTCTTCTGCGTGTCCTTCAAAAAGTTTAAACAATACCCTCCTAAAGGAAGGACCTATCGGCTTGGATGTTTCTCACGGATCAGAGCAGGCTGGCAGGAGAGGCCTTGGAAGTTGCCAGTGAACGTGGGGAGCAGCTGAAGGTCTGAGGACCGCTGTCATTTCGCAGCCAGGGCTCCATTACGGATGGGGATTCTCCTCGCTTCTCCACTGGACAGTTTGCAGTGGAAAGCGGAGGGCAGGTGGAGGGGTGCCATGGTCGTGGTGCAGGGAAAGAAAGGCCGGGGCTGCTCTGTCACGCTGTCCTGTTCTGACGAACGTCCCCCTTTAGGGCTGGTGGGTCATCACAGGTTTCTGTGAAGCATAAACACACATGCACACACAAGTGTGCATAGGTGGGTATGCACACAGATACACATACACACACACCGGCGTGCACAGAGGAACATACAAACACACAGGTGTGCACATGGGTAGACACGAACTTAGATGTATGGGTGTGCACACAGAAACACAAATGGGCACGTACAAACACAGACGAGTGCTCACAACGACACACACATACACAGGAGGCCACCCACACACATGTGGACGTGTTGGTCAGAAGGCACTGGTCAACCCCCTGGGGGGTTTTACTCAACCTCTCTCTGCCTCTGTTTCCCCAGCTATGAATTTGGGTCAGTGACACTGGCCCCCGTCAGCAGAGTCTGGATGGAAAGTATTGGACAATTTAAAGCTCTGAAACACAAGGAGGAATATTATGACCTGACAGCATTTATTTCCTCAAGTCCCCATTGGCAATTTCTTATTAATCGTCATCATTGGTCTGCTGTTGGAGATGGCCACACTCTGGCCACCGTCCAGATGGCCTCTTTCCGGGCTAAGGAGGGCCGTGTGGGGCGTCTCTGTCCCCCACCATTTCCCCTTACACATAGGTCCCCTCGTTTGTGGTGGCCTCACGATGGCTGTGTGGAATCCACGTGCCCCAGCTCCCTCTCTGTCACATGCAGCCATGAATGGTCTTATCCCTGTTTGTGTGCGTCTCTATTGTGAGATACTTTGATGTCCTTTTTAAAAATGGGGTTTATGGAAAGAATAAAGTGAACGCTCAGTCTTCCTGTACAGCCAATCCTCTGCTCAGACTCTCGTAACTGGTACGAAGGTGGCAGTGGCCAGGAGGCCAAGCGCTGGCGGGATGTGGGTGTGGGGAGCTGTGGGGTCAGGGGTGTTGGGACCTTGATCGTGGCCATGGAGCACCGAGTCATCATGCCCATCCCCAGAACATGGGAATGACTTGTGGTCCTTAGAGGTCAGCCTTTTTGAGCTGCCACCGCGCTGTGTTTTGCGAGGTGGCACTGCGTGGGAAAATCTGTTGCTTTCCACAGGCGCCTGTGCTGCTGGAAACACGAGGGTCTGTGGTGTCAGATGCACTTCTGCGGGGACCGAGGCCGCCACCATGCCTGGGGCAGCCTGATGCTTCCTGGGGTTTGGCAGGAGCCCAAGAAGCTCATTCTGCAGAGACCCCTCTCCTGTGGAGGACAGGGGACAGCCTTGACCCTGGCATCCACAGATGTGGTTTGGCTGGATCACCGTTATAGTGCTGGGTGGGCTGGTGGGAGAGCATCCTCACCGTCTCACAGACTGTCACACCTCTGAGGGTCCTCACTGTCTCACGGGCTGTCCCTCCCCCGAGCATCCTCACTGTCTCATGGACTGTCCCTCCCATCAGTGTCCTCACCATCTCATGGGCTGTCCCCCCCGGAGCATCCTCACTGTCTCCTGGACTGTCCCCCCCCGAGCATCCTCGTGTCTCATAGGCTGTCTGTCCCCTGAGCCTCCTCACTGTGTCATGGACTGTCCCCTCCCCGAGATCCACCCCCGGCTGAGCAGACACCCGTCATTGGTACACTCTGGTACCCTGAAGAAATGTTTTTGACTTTTGTTTACACCTTTGCCAAGTTCACTTTCTTACTTTCCCCAGTTTCTTGACTCTGAACCCTCACTAGCTATGTCCGTCTCATGGTCACGAGGTCTGAAGCCCCCTCGGGAAGGACACGCAGCTCACCGCGAAGCTGTGCCTGGTGGCGCCCCTCCTGCCGTTGGGGTTTCTCAGGGTCAGGGATCCGCGGTACACCGACTTCCGGTCCAAGGGGGCGTCGTCTTTGCCTATGGGGAGAGGGAAGGGGGTGCGTATTAATCCCGATCTTACCCCGAGCCAGTGTCTCCACCTTCTGAGAAATGTAAGAAGCAGCACAAAGGGCCGTCTCCCTTTCTGAGAAGTTTTCACAGCCTAGACTGTCTTTAACAAAGCATTTACGTTTTAGCAGTCGTGCAAATGAACAGGTCAGTCCGACTCTCTCTCCTCTGCTTTGGAGCGGCCGTTAAACTCCTGCCTCACTGCGGCCCCAGAGGCACTCCGATGGGCAAATCCAAAGCAACAGGAAATCCATCACTACTGTCGGTCGGTGTGGATCGGCTCCTTTCCTTTAGTTCCAGGACGTGACAACGGGCTGAGGGGTCTTTGGACTGTGACCGTCAGAATGGAGGGTCTCTCCTCAGGGCTTTGGATGTGAACTTGGGGCATCTGGCCTCAAATCCTAGTCAACTGTGTTCATGGTCAAGGTGAGCAAACTGCAAAGGGTAGGGCAGAAGCAGCCTTTTCTGTGCTTTGTGGATCTCAGGCCAGCCCTGCCTGACACACGGCGCCTGCTCCCGGGGCTGTGACACAGGGCACCTGCTCCAGGGGTGTGACACATAGCGCCTGCTCCTGAGGGTGTGCTGGAGCACATCTCCTTTCTTCCCAACTCTGCATTCAGTGACATCACAGGGGTGTCTTCAAACCAGCCATAGAGAAAGTTATTTGCACCACGGAAATTGGCAAATGCCACAAATCAGGGCTTTGTGGTTTTTTTTTTGAGAGCTGGCTGGCCAGCCTCCCGTCGTCTCTCGCTTCATTTTAGGCAGGGTATGTTCTGCCTGGCCTTGCTGTCTGTCCCTGCTCCAGGACCAACTCCGCTGAGGGAATTGCTAAACCAGGGATCACAACCACCGAGCAGTGAGGACACACGTGGCCCTTCCCTGCTTCCCTGCTTCACTGGAGGGGTGTGTGAGGACCTGCCCGCGTGGGGCTGACCTCTGGCAGACCCGGGGAGAGACTGCCTCGGCCCCCCTGAGGCTGGTCAGGGGGCAGGAGAGACAGGTGATGGGCTGGAGGTCTCGGCCGTGCTGTTTGGACCCTGAAATGCCCATGAGCTCAGGGGTCTGGCGGTGAAGTACTGGCCTCGGACTGGACAAAACCAGTCGGAGAGCAGCTGGAGGAGCCCACCCTTGCTCTCTTGCTGTAAACACGAGCCTCCTTGTGGACTTTAGCCACGAGACCTGCAGGAAACTCCCCTCTGGGGTCAGCATGTGGTACTCCACAAGTCCCCACTGCCCCTCAGCAGGAGGTCTCTCTGGCAAAGCCGCCCACCTAGTTGATGGCTCTGGACCAGGGATTCCCCTCAAAGGGCCTCGGGCACCAGCTCTGTCCCTGGACCGACCTGCACGTGTGCTGGGAGCTCTGGGGTGCGGAGAGGGCGCTGGCATGGAGGAGCGTGGAAACGGGGATGTGCAAAGACGAACCACGTGCCCAGAGGAGGCGGGGGTGACCTCCAGGGGGAGGCGTAGTGCTTGGCCTGGCAGGACTTTAAGAGGCAGAGGTGGGTGGGAAAGGGAGCGAGGTGCGTTCAGGACAGAAAGTGCGGCCCAGGCCAAGGTACAGAGGCCTGTGGTCGCCTAGAGCACTCTGAAATCAAAGTCTGCGCCAGAAATGCGTGTTGTCCGATGGGAAGGAAAGAGCACCCATGGGCAGGTGGACCAGGAGGCAGGTGGGCTCCGGTGTGTGGCAAACAGTGCAAGTCTATGCTAAGAAATCCCACTTGCTTCTTCAAGAAATTGGGAGCCAACGATTGTTTGTGAGCAGAGGAGGGATGTGAAGAGAGCTCCCTGTTGGGTCCCTGGCTGTGGTGGAGTTGGAATGAGGGGGTGATGAGGACAAAGCTCGGACGCAAGGATAACAGCAGACACCACGATGGCGTAAGGGCCTGAACTAGTTCAACGGTGGAGAGACTGACTCTGAACTGGGAATGCGGCCCCTTCCCTCTGGTGACCTGCGGCCGGCCTGCAAGGTGAGCAGTGGACCAGCACAAATGCCCCGACAGCCCGGCCTTGTGCTGTGGAGGTAGCCGGGCCTTACACCCTGTCCGTCTAGGACAAGGTTGATATCCTTGTCACCATCAAGGAAGGCTCGATCATGTTCTGTGCTTTGTGTAAGAAGGTTGGGAGCTGTGCACCGTATTTGGACAACTTACATGGAAAAATAGGGAAAATGCACCCCAAACCCCACCACTTTTGGGTGCCTACAGCAGCAAAGTCCTGTCATCTGGGACGCCGATTGCTGGAACGGTCCCTGAGGGTGGCTGGGGAGGCACCGGGAGTGAGGATGTCAGGGGCATAAGGTGCTGCATCCCACAGATTACACATGTAGAAATACAGAGCCCTGACTGGCCATTTGCACGCCCCTGAGCTCATCTCCCGGCCGTGCGGGTGAGGGAAGCAGCCGACTCTTACCTTGACTTTTGGGGGAATTACTGAACTTCTTCTTCAGCAGAAAGGGTACAGCCACGACCTGGAAGAGAGATGTCTCTGGGCTTCAGCACATGGTTGTAATTTTTAGGAACACTGGGAGCTGATTTGGGACTTCTCATTCTTCCAGATTCTAACTAATCAGGTCAACCATCTTCCATTCTTTGGCACTATCTGAACTTTAACAATATTAAAATGCGTGTTATCAATCAATTAAACACCAAATGCCAGAATACAAAAGAGAAGCTTAGCTTTCAGAGAACTGCCGACTTTGGGTGGTACAGCGGAGAGAGGACACATTTCAGCCCGGCAGACGTGGGTTCAAATCCTAACGCCACCCCCTCCTATCAGGACACGGAGGGTTTCCATATCCTCTCCGAACTCAGGCTCCTCATCTGGAAAATGGGCCAGAAGCCCCCTTACAGGGATGTTGGAAGATTAATTGTACCTAACACAATTTCCAGCTCCCCCCGGCCGTTGGTCCCCACGCCATCCTTCCTTCTCCCTTTTCTATTAACTACTTCTCTACGCTGGGATCATTCATTCTCTTCTGCCTGGCTCCTTTTGTGGGCTGTACCTGGACGCCAGCTGCTGGGCCTCCCGGGACAAGTCAGGGAGCACCATGGCCTCAAGGAGAGGGTGGGAGGTCCGATCAGCAGACCCCTCTGTCACTTACGGTCTGTGCGATCTTGATCAGGCACACCTATCTCCCTGAGTCTCAGTTTGTCATCAGTGCAACAGGGTTAATATCAGTGCCTGTTTACCAGGTTTTATAAAAATCAAATGGAGGGGTGGGGGAAAAATACTGTTTTTAACTGTAAAGAGCTATCTAACATTGTTCTGATCAGCAAAAGTGGTGAGATGTTTGTTACGGCTCCTGGGGGACATCAGGAAGGATGTGGAGTAGAAGCCACTCATTCTGGGGCCCTGGGAACGGCACCAACAACCCCACCCCCAACCACGCCACCTTCACCCAGATCTCACTCCCTCCAGGCCGGCTCTTTCCCTGTGCCACCACAGCTGTTAGTGCTGCCACCATCTTCCTGATTGGCAGGCTGTGAAGGTTTCTGCCCACACCTCCCCACATCCCCGTGCCATTTTGTGCACATTAGCTCCAGATGCTTTCACAGCCACAGCCAGCACCTGAGTCTCCTAGCTGGAGGCCTGTCCCGAGGCCGCTGGAGCCTGCTGTGCCTGCACAGGGAAGAGTAGAAGAGCCTGGAAATGTATGTTGTTGGTGACTGCTGGGCGTGGAGGGGTAAATGCACCAGCTACCTGGCGCCTGAACAGGATGACTCCTCGGTGACACACTGTCTCCAGAGATCTGTGTCACCCTGAGCCAGTTACCCTGCACGGGGTTTGCTGAGGTCGGATGCTTGCCTGCCTCCCTCCCTCTCTGCCCACTTTCCCACTCCCCTGCTGGGTTTTCCTGAGTTTTCCCAGCAAACTCTTCGGCACCATCCGTCGTCTCAGTGTGCGCCTCGGAGGATCCCAACCTGCGGGACTCGCCAAGTTCCCACCTCTCCACGGACCTGTCGTGCTTCTGGAAAAGCTGTGCGCCTGCTACTCTTTGTCCAGCCTCTGGAGGTTGGATGGAACAACACGTACCTTGACCTCTTCCAATGGGTCTGCATTTGGATCCTTAGGACTCTGGCCAGTTTTCCCAACAAGCCGGGGAAGAAATATCTGGAGGACAAGGAGGAAGCCTGCATATTATTACTGCCTCGTTCGATCTCCAGCCACAGGATGCACCAGCAGCACATCAGGATGGACGTTCTCTTTAAATACTTGGTCAGGAATGCTGGGAAGGCATGTTAGCCCTCCCCAAACACCCCTCCAACGCTCTCCAGGGCTGCCATGCTTAGCAAATTGAACTCCAGAAAGCCCAGTTAGCTCCGAATTTCAGATAAATGACAAATAATCTTTTAGTGTAACTTCGTCCCAAATGTTGCACGAGATATTCTTAGACTAGGAAATTACTCGTCGCTAATCCGAAATTCAAATTTAACTGGGCGTCCTCTATTTTACCTGGCAACCCTATCTGGGAGTCCCCCTGGAGCATCTTTCATTTTTCTGCCCAATTTCCTTACACAGCTGATTTCATCTGCAGATCCCGACTTGAGTCAGGAGAGAAGGACGTTGGGCTCAGATCTCTGTGGTCGGGGCAGACCCCTTCCCATGACTTTCCCCAGCCATCTACTCTAGTCACACCCGTCTTAGCCACACATGGCTGCTTATCGAGCCTGCCAACATGAGGTGTTATCACTCAGGTTTCTTTTTTTTTTGCATGGAATGATTCACCCTGGGCTAATATATGCTGCCAATCTTCCTCCTTTTGTTTTTTCCTCCTCAAAGCCCCAGTGCCTGGTTGTGTATCCTAGTTGTGAGTTCCAGTTCTTCTATGTAGGCTGCCACCACAGCATGGCTACTGACAGACGGGTGGTGTGGTTCCACACCCGGGAAACAAACCCAGGCCACCAAAGGGGTGAGCGCCAAACTTTAACCACCAGGCCATCAGGTGGCTTCTTTTGGACTTTACTGTGTATGCATGTGTGCACGTGGGTGTGTTTCAAATTCTCACAGTAGGAGCAGAGGGTCCCCTCATAAAGTGCCTTTTTCAGTTAGAAACCACCACAAGTTCACTGATCGGCTTTTAGGAAACCAAGACTGCAGTTCCAGGAGAAAGGAGGCGGCCGGCCCGGGGCCCCTGGTTTCAGGCCCTCAGGGCAGCCTTGTGCTCCTGGCTGGGTCTCGGGGCACAACCTCCCCTGGTCTGTGGCCCCACCACTCACCGGGAGGTTGGACTTCCTCCGCGGCTTTCCCGAGGGCCTGACCGTGAGCCCTGCTGCCTGCAAGGCTGCGATCCTGGACTCAATATCCGAAACCTAGGGGAACAACAGATAGACAGGTGTCACCCGATGTGCCATCTCAAAGTCACAGGATGGAAAGAGCAGCTGCCCCGGTTCACCCATTTTCTTATGTTTTCCCTTAAGACTGGGGTCCCAACCAGACGTGCTTCCTGGGGGTCTCATTTTCATTCATCTTCCATGGCTGTCGGGGAGGGGGCTGGGTATGCCTTGAAGGTCACCCCCAGGCTGGAGGAGAGGGGGCTGTATTCATTTTCTGGAGGTGCATGGAAGTCTGGCTCCCATCAGGGATGGAAGAAGGGGTAGTGACTAGGAGAGAGTTGGAGGAGGAAGCTTGTGGAAACAAGCTAGGTCCCATCACCCTGCTCAGATCCCTCCAATGGCTCCCTGAATTCTCCAATGGCTCTTGGGGCTCTCTGGAATCTGCCCTCCTCTCAGACCTGCCTCCCACACTCTCCCCTGGACTTCTTCTGCTCCAGTTTCAGAGTTTCACTGCTGATTCCTGAACATGCCAAGTTCTGCACCACCCCAGGGCCTTTGCATGTGCTGCCTCCTCATAACGTCCCTTCCTGACCACCTTGTCTAAGCAGCCCACTCTGAACTCCCTCCTAGGTTACCCTCACTTCCTGTCTTCACAGCTCTCTTCATGAACTGAAATGATCTCCTTGGTCTTTGGTTTGCTGTCTATCTCCTCCCACTAAAAATGTAAGCTCCAGGAAGGTAGGGCTCAGGCTAAGACATCCACATCTATTGTGTCCTACATAAGGCCTGCCATATTCCAGGAGTTTGAAAATTGTTTGCCAGGCAAGACGGAATACATGAATGCAGAGTCTTCAGGCTGGCTCACTCCCTGGCACATGCATGGCTCTGGGCACAGGTCCCTCCCTCCTTGAGGATGGATGGGCACTTGCTGATGAGCTGAGGAACGAGAGCGGGCAGTGAGTGCTGGCCCTCCCGCAGTCTTAAGGGCAGACCGTGTCTTCTCTGTGGGCCCCCGGGGGGAGGGCGGAGCAGATTCCTCTCCTTGGCTGTCCCTGGGAGGCCCTGGCTCTGTCCTTTGACCCTGGTCCACTGTTAACACAGCCCTCACTGAAACTGAAGCCCTGAACCCAGGCTGGGGCTCATAAGGTGACCCTTGGCTCAGAGCCTATTCCCGGGCCCTCGGGCTTTCTAAACTCTAAACCTGTTTCTGGAGAAGCCCCTCCCCATGGGACAGCATCTTTCTCCAGTAGCTGAAAACTGTGTCTGCTCCTCACCAAGGCAAAGGGGAAAAGGGCAGGGGTGGGGATGGGGTGGGAACAGGCGACTCCCCCAGAGCCCCTAGGCTCCCACCCTGGAGCCAAGGGCATGGGCTGTCTGAGAGCCTTTCAGGGGACCGTCCACTGTTGCCAAACCTTCGGGGCCCACCACTGTCTATCCTGGGGAACCACCTGCTCCCTGGGGCGCCTGGGGCTACCTCACTCTCTGCCTGCTGGACCTCGGAGGCCGTCACGGCCACTCTGTCCTCCAGCTCTGACAGCTCCTCGTCCGTGGTCCTGCTGGGCTGCACGGGGTCCTGAGGGCCCCAGGGGGTTGTTTCCTGGCTGTACGTTTGTCCTGCAGCTGCGCACACCTGGGAAAGGGAAGCACGGAAGGTGACCGCCAGCAGGAGACGCGGCGCTCTCTCCAATGTGGGTCCCAGCCTCACGATGCTCTTTTCTCTGAACTCCTGGAGCTAGTCGGCTGGCTGGTCAGCCACCGTGTGGGTCTCGTTGAGGCCTGTCAGTGTCCACGGGGGTTGGCTGCCTGCCCCGGGGCGGGCTGGTGACCCAGTTACAAACCGCTGGCCAGGGCGACTGTTGATCCCCGGCCCTACCTCTGCCTGTGTCCTGCTGAGACTGCTCGGTGGCCTCACCTCTGTGGCCGCCCATGGGAGGTCCTCAGTGGATGTGCTCCCCTCCAGCTCTGCCCCTTCATCCTTGCCCTCCTCCTCCTCGGACGAGGTCCCCTGGTCACTGACGTGGCTGGTCAACTCCTCCAGCTTTCTCTTTAGGGTCACCTCTTCTATGTCGGCGTCTGTGGGCTCGCTGGCAGCTAGACCCTGAAATGAGTGGATCTGCCTTTAGCTGGGCATCTGCAAGCAGCACACTCAGAGGCAGGACTCTGGGAGGCGTCCTGTCCCCGAGCACACCCGACGCTCCTGCTGGAGCTGCGGCCTCCATCCATTCTCCACATGAGCTTGCCCAAAGTGCCTGTGCTGGGGCCGGTCTCAGCCACAGAGAACCAGCTCTGCAGGCTGGGCCATCCTGGTGATCCTGACCACACCCGGGGCTCTCAAGATCCACCATTTTTGAACAAGACCTTGAGCTTTCCTTATTGGACATTCTTATAATGGGAGGACAATTCTTCCCTCTGCCTGTAAATCGGGTCCCCAAGCATTTCCTAGAGTTCTAGCACCTCTAAGGTGCCAAACCAGGACCACAGGCCCTGGACTGTTTGCATCTGGCCAGTTGGGTCTGACGGGGTGTTGACGGCTCAGGTCTCCGAGTTCTCTCCGCCCTATCCCGGTGTTGAGACTGAAGCACACCACGGCCCAGTGACCTCAGCCCCTCCTAGAAATGCTGCACCACCTGCGGTCTCTGGGGTGTGCCCTGAACTTGCATAATGACAATGGCATTCAGGGCCACCGCTCACCGTGTGTCCACGCACGCCAGGCACTGTGCCCATGGTCTCTCGCATGAATGAGCCTCATGTTGGCTTTGCACCAGGGCTGACGCTCCTAGACACTGGCTCGAAGCAGACTGAGAACCACCCACAGAAACAATGTATTTGTGACTTTTGGAAAACCGTAGACAAAGTTGTGAGAACACAGCGGTGATGTCCTCCATGACACAGCGGGAGACATGCTTCACCACAGATCCCTGCTCGAATCTAGAGCCATGAGATTTTGTCTCCCTGGGGGAACTTGTCCCCTGGTCTTAGACAAGGGTTAGATTAATTTAAAGTCTATTTATTGGCCTTGGTTAGTAACAAACTCAGAGCAAAAGTGAGAGCTCATCTCTGGCAAGTCTCCCAGGCCAGATGGGAGCTCTTTTCCAGTGTTGTATTCTTTCATCATAATTTTTGTAGGTGGTATCATAACTTCAGCTGGAGTTGGAGCATAAACAGGGGCTGGAAAGCAGGGAATGAACAGACAAGAAAACACCTGCTAGGGGCTAGGAGTCCCTCCTGTATTCCGGGCTGTTACCCTTATTCCTCGGGCTGGGGGCGCAGGCATGGAGCCCCTAATTCCTCCGCCCAGGGTCACTCATTAAGAAGCAGAGCAGGCATGCACTGTGGTCAGCTCCAGTGGCCATGCCCTTTCCACACTCCGGCCAGCAGTTCACTGGGCAGCTATGTCTGCTGTGGACACAAGCCTATGTGAAGGAATTTAGCGCATTGGCTCTAAGAACTGACCAGAACTTACGCGATAAAAACAGAAAAATTATCCCAATCGCCTTTTACAGCCAAAACAATGTTACAGTGGGTGATGAGATGAAAACATCCCCCAACACAGCTGAGGGCAGTTCCATCCTTGAAAGCTCACTCAGGCCCCAAATCCTGGCGTCACCTGCCTCCTCTCTCTCTCGTCCTGAATGCTCATTCCTGTTGGCTCTGCCTTGAAAAGGTCCACACATGCCAGCTCGCATTACGTCCGCTGCCCGGCATGGTTCACTCTCCACCTTCTGCATCCTGGACATCCCAACAGCCTCCTACTTGTCTTCCCTGTTTCCACAGCCTCTTCTCAGTATAAAAGGCAGAGCGATTCTCGACAGTCCGCCAGTAACAGCTCTCCTCACTCAGGCCTCCCCATCCCTCCCAGAGAAACAGGCAGAGCCCCAGCAGTGGCCTCAGAGGGGTCTGGTCTCCTCCCCTCCCGCCACCCCGCCTCCTGCCTGCCGGTCCCACCTCACTGTACAAGTGCACCCCCTCCACCTGGGGCGCTCCATCCCAGCGCCGAGGGACCGCTCCTGCACCTCCCCAGCTCTGTGTGGGGATGCGCCTCTCAGTGAGGTACCCCTCACCCCGCCCCACTCATCCCCCGTCCTCGATTTTTTTTCTCTACCTTCCTCCACTTCTGGCCTACGATTGGGTGCTTACTGCCTGGAGACTGGGAGGCGAGCCCCCTGAGGCCATGTGTCCTGTCTGTGTCCTTCACTGCTGTCCTCCCAGCCCGGAAACCAGCGCCTGGCATGAGGAAGCACCTGGACGTCTGCTGGCTCCTCCCAGGTGACAGATCACGCGTCAACTTAATAACAGAGCGACCGAGACAGAGAGTCCACTCATTCGTCTGTTCATTCATTCACTCATTCGTTGCCTTTCAAGGCTTCCTCTGGCCCACAAGGCAGAGTTTAGAGTGGAGGTGAGGGCTCCACTAGGACTCCCCCACGAGAACGTGAAGCCCTCCTCATCACCCCTTTCTTTCACCCCGTTGATGCTGCAGCGCTGATGGAAGGAGAGGCTTCACCACCAGGAAGCTACTCACACCCATGGTCCCGTTGGACCAGCTTCCGTCCCCCTCGGCCCCCGAGTGCTCCTGGCAAGTGGATGGCAGTGTTCACCATCACTGAATTTTTTATGTGAATGAACCTAAGACAGACCCCCAGGCCTCACAGAAAGGAAGCCCAGGGCCCCGCTGGGGAGAGCTGATAAGGAAGCCACACATTTATCTGGGAAGCTCCTCTACGAGATCCCAATTTTCTGATGAGGCTCAGAAATTGAATCTCCTCAGAGGCCCTGACAGGCGGAGAGAATCATGGTGACGTTCAGTGGGCACGTTCTCTTGGGTATGATGGGAACAAAATTTTCTCCCAGAGCAAGTGGGACTGAGAAACTGCGGAGTCCCTGGGAGAAATGGGAGCCTGAGGGGTGGAGTGGAGACCAATGACTGTTGTTAGAAGCAGGTATTGTCTCTACTTTGTAAGTAAATAAATTCACGCGTGCAGACGCACGCACACATGTCCAACACGTATGTATGTATACAAACATATGATAACGTGTATGTGTGACAGCAACTGGCCAGCATGACAGGATACAGCCGGGGAGACCAAGCCATCCAGGGTTGAGCCCTAAAAGTCCTATGTCCTTGGAACCCCTTGATCCTGGGCAAACTGGGATGTTGATCACCGTGGTGATGCTGGAGGGGGAAGCCCACTACCCCATGGTGGAGAACCTTACTGTGCCCAAGGCTTCTTGGGGGTCCAGACCCTGCCTGGTCCTGGACGGGGCAGATGACCCCAGTCGGGATGTGCGGCAGAAACCTGCCCGGCTCTCTGAGCACCACACATGAAGCTTGAATTTACAATCTGGGAAACCTCAAGACATTCTTCCCTGCAAAGCCGGTGTGGGTGCCTCAACCCTCCTGACGAAGGGGCTTGGGAGCCCTTTCTCCCTGCCTGGCTGGGACCTGCCTGGCCCTGGGCATTACCTTGGCCTCGGGAGGCACGACTATGTTCTCCAGGTGGGTCAGCAGGCGTTCCACGGCTAACATGCGCTCATTCAGCTCAAAGATCTGCAGCAGAGGGAGAGAAACAGTGGGGGGAGGACGCAGCCCCCTCCCACCAGCAGGACCTGCACCCGCCACCTCAGAAGCTCCAAGTTCCCAAGCAGTGGAAGGAAAGGTAAGGCCACTGTCCATGACGTAACCTGGGAAGGGTGACCGTGAAGCCCACTTTCCATCACCAAGGGTCTGGAACACCAAGCAGAAGCTGGGAGAAGTACCAGAAGGGGGGGTTTGGGGGGTGGATGAATAAAGCGGGAGAGGTGACAAATTCAGCCAGACGAGGAAGCTGATCTGAAAGGCCTATGACGTGTCATTACTGTGGGGCAGCTATTGTCACTGCCATCGTGATCGGCACAGGAAGGCATGAATTAAGCCACGTTGATCAAACTAAAAGTCATTAGCTGGCGGGAGCCTTGGATCATTGTGGGCCAGGAAGCATGCCAGGTGACGACCGAAAGTCACTCAAGGTACAACTTCCTGCCCATCCCTTGAGTCACCAGACTCTTGAGTCACCAGAGTCTATCAGCTCCCAGACTGGGACATGAGAAAATCAATTCTTCAGTTTTCTTCCAAGCCCAGCAGATGCCTCTCTCCTGCCATTATGTCGTTTGCGGCTCACCTTGTTTTAAAAGGGAGATGGCACGTGCAGGGCGCTAAGATGCTCTTGCATTGTCTGGTAGATAATTAGTTTGATCTTCACAGTGCCAAGGGCCTTGAGTGGGCAAATCTGCCTGAAGAAGGACATAAACTGAGAAACGTCAACACGAGGGTTCGGGTGGGGAGTGGCTCTCGGCCCTCGCCTTGAGTGGCTGCTGGTAATTGAGGTCTGCTGTGGTCACACCCGGCGTCCACAGAGGCAGCGATCAATACCTCCAGGAAGAGAGGTCCCCAGACAGCGTTTGTGTCCCCGAGGGGCACCTTGTGCGTAGGACATGTGCCACTTCAGACTTGGAGACGAAGAGCCTGACCCGACCAGTGCTCTACACCGTCCTTGTGAAATGTCACCTCCAGAGTAAAAAGGAAAGAAAAACCTCCCACGATGGGAACCTGGGACATTCTCTTCTGGGGTAGGAGGAGGGGCAGGAACTGGGTGCAGCAAGAAGCCAAGGAGAGGCCAGCAGGCATGGGGCCGGGAGGTGAGCTAGGGGCTCAGTGCTGCTGTGTGGCTGCAGCAGGCTCTCTGCCTCCAAGGCAGCAGGGACCCGATAGATATTACATGACCCTGGTTTTCCACCCTTTCTTGAGAGCCGCTGGCCTCTTTCAGACACCTGCATGGAACACCTGCTTCTTAGGTGCTCATAAGCAGCCCTCACAAAGCTGGTTGTGCCCTTCCCCCTTCTCCCTAACGGGCCACCTGCTCTGGCAGCGGCGTCTGCCCCGGTGTGAGCTCCGACGGACGGTCAGGATTACCACGTTAACTCAGACATGACCGACGTAAACTCGGTATGGAGTCCAGGTGCTCTCAATGCGTAGGCAACATAACCAAAACTTACAATTTGCAAACACAATGCAGACACAGGCCATGGGTTAAAATGAACGGCTGTCACTTGGCACCGGTGAGCCTCTTATGGGGAAACCAAGTCAGTGTCTGCAGCCTGAGAACAGCATGGATGGCCTTGCAGCAGCTCTTGGGAGTGGAGGTCTCACCCCCCCACCACGGGGGTCAGAGGTGCATGCCAGTGCTCGGCTCCCTGTCACCCTCCTCGATCTCAGACCCAAGGAAGCGTCCTTCGTACCGCATGCTGTGCTGTCTTGGGCCTTCTCTTGGCAGGAGCCATTCTTTACAGAAAGTCTTTCCCAAATATCCTCATCAGAAAGCCCTAACCATGAGTGGAAATGCAGAGAGGGGCCACAGTTAACAGGAGGGCCATCCAGATGCACCCCAATAAAACGTTACTCTGGAGAACTCTCGGCCCCCAGGGATGGCCGTGAGTCCTGGGCTCAGAAGCACTGCTCTGTGGGGTGGGTAGATGCATGGGTGCCTCCCGGACCCTGCAGTGGCCCCTTCATGGAGACCCTTTAGGGTCTGCCCGGGGCTTTCCCTGACGCAGGGAGCACTGCTGCATTCGGAGGCTGCTCTTTACACCGCCCAGTTCCCTTTACATAAAGACGCAGGGGACCCGTTCCAGGTGAAATGTTTGTCTAAGTAAATAAATTTACTAGAAATAAATAAAGAAAGAGAATTCCAGAGACAAGACACAAAGATGAAATAGAGGTTCATTCAAAGAGGCATAAAGGAAGACACTGGTACCAGGAGAGCCCAATCCGGGGTACAGATTTTCCTGAAAGTTATCGAAGTTGCTAAATTGAAAACTTACTGAAAATAGACAATTTGATTCTCGTTTTTGTCCCACAGTCTTCTGACTGGGGAACTTGGAGCTCCTCTGCTTGCTGTGGTTCTGCCACCCGGGGAGGGCTCTATCCTGGGGTGGGCTCCAACCTGACCACACTGGGGAAGTCTCCATCCTGGGGAGGCTCCATCCTGACCACACTGGCTCTCCACCACTGTCCTCCAGCCCCCTTAGAGGTCAGGCCAGTCACTCCCTGGTCTGAATCAAAGGGCACTTCCTTGCATCAGCATCTTCCTCGCTAGGAGGGTAACTGACTTGTGCTTCTTTCAGAGATGGAGGTCGGGTGCAGGAGGAACTTCCAGCCCCAGGTCGTGGGATGCTTCTAGGTGACATTACAGGAAAGAGTCAGTTGTGCCTGAGGGCACTGACTCTGGAGAGGAGAGATGCCGAGTTTAAAAGCTGCATGTTTTGGCCCCACTGACAGTTTTGCCCAATTTTAGAACAAAAAATTTACTCTATTCCCCAAAAAGCCATGCAAAGAAAGACTCCTTCAAAGTGTTGTGCTCATTTTCGGCCGACGAGACTGAGGTTGGGAGGGCCCTAACATCTTGTGCGTGAGCGTGGACTGAGGAGAGGCCCACGCCCGCCTCCTTCCCCACCCGCGAAGGTCCAGCCCTTGCAGACAGTGTTAGAACAGATCCGCTGGCGCGCAGGCAGTGGGTGGCAGAGCGCTCCAGGAAGGCCCGGCCTGCTGGGAGGTGCTACATGTTGCTCGATGTCCCTGGGCAGCGCTGGTCTAGCGACTCCACAATTGAGCCCGAGGTCCTGGAAACAGTTGCTTGCAGAACCAGGCAACGCTCCTCCCAGGTCATCTCCGTACAGAGAGAGGGTAAGGGGTGCGGATGGCCCAAGACCCTTGCAGAAGAGCCCCTCCCAGCTCTGGCCCCCTCGCCTGCCCCTCTGGTCCCCTGCTCCTCGTGTCTGGGGCTTGAATGGCAACCACCACAACCACACGTGCACCATCCATCTGCCTTTCCTGAATGTGCTCAATGCTTGGTTAGTCTTTCCACCTGACAGCCCAGAACTCAGCCTATGGGTTCCCCAAAGGGAAGCTCCACAGATGCATCCTCCACCCAAATCTCCCAGGAGGCGGTCCCAGGAGGAGCTCTGGGCCATATGTCAGTGTGCAGACGAAGCTGGACCTGCATCAATCCTGGTTCCTGAAAATGTGCCAGAGACCAACCTTGGCACAGCCACGGTTCTGGATCCATCCAGAGCAGGGTCCACTCGCCCTCCTCCTGGTGTTGTACCTCCAGACTCATCAGCTATGAAACGGCCCCAACCCAGCGATTCCATCCACAGGCGTCAAGGTCCCATCAGACTTCCGTGAGACTGTGTTCACCGAGTGATCACGATGTTCTCGTCTAAAACATCACTGCCCTTCCCCCAGGAAAAGGCGCTTACGCAAATTTAAATCAATTGTGAACAGCATCACGGCTTAAATTCAATGAAGGGAACCTGTGGTACTCAAGGAAACCTTGTGATGCGTTATTTCATAAATCAGTGTTTACAGCGTGCATGATTCTCACTACCGTAACAGGCATTAAACATTCTAAGTTGAAATTTCTTAAAACCCATATAAAGCCGGATAAGGGTATAAAATAACTGATAGATTATTCCCTCTTTTGTAAAAGGCATAATACTTGACAGAGTATAAAATATCTATTTTCACCAAAAGGAATGAAGTATTGATTATAGGCTATAATATGGATAAGCCTCAAAAACATATACTGAGTGAAAGAAGCCAGATGCAAAAGGTCACATATGGTACGATTCCATTTATATGAAAAGTCCAGAATGGGCAAATCCACAGACGGAGGAGGTAGGTGGTTGCCAGGGGCTGGGGGGAGGTTGGGAGCAAATGCCTAATGAGTATGGTTTTCCTTTAGGGTGACAGAGATGTTTTGGAACCAGACAGATGTGATGGTTGCACAGCACTGTGAACGTACTCAATGTGACTGAACTGTTCACTTTAAAATGGTTAATTTTAGGTTATGTGAATTTTGCTTCCATAGAAAAATGTGCATTTTGATGACAGCTCCTATCTCCGTTAAGTAGGTGTGTGCAATCCCATAGTTTTAAAATATGGAAAGATTTAACTTTTCTTTTACGACCTGGTGTTAAGGTAAGAAGGTTCCACCCAAAGAAGCCACAAGGATGCATTCTTCCAGGCCCCCTTACCTGGCTCTCAGACGGAGTCCGGCCCCTGCGTGTGGACCTGTGGGAGGCCCCCCTGTGAGCTCGGACGCTCTCTTCATCGGAGGTGTCCACATCGGCCAGGTACTGGGATGGGAGCTGCCGATTCTCGGTGACGTTCGCCCCTTCGGAGGAAGAGCACGTTTGAATTATCGGAGTGAAACGCTGAAAGCCAACGGATGTGTTGTTTCCAATGAAAACAAAATGAGAGATCAAAGAAAATGAAGACGTGATTGTATTCCTCTGATGTTGTGGGGCTGTGATCCTTCATCAAAATAAGAATGGAGCCAAGTCCAGTCCCCACGCAGGGAGCTTCAGGAGACAGGGGCCCCAGCACCCCCTACGGGGCTTGAAGAGTTGACAGCCATGTTGGCAAAGCAAAGGGAATGTAATTATGCCACACAGAATCCCACATGCGTGGAGTGTGGCAAACGTGGGTCCCGGCAAGTTTCCATGAGTGGAGGTGACTTTTGGAAGTCTTTCCACATTGGTCACTCTGGGTTGTTTTCGTGCCAGACCAATGATGTACAGACTTTCCTGGGTACAGCTCATCAATGGTGTGGCCTGAAATGCTTGTTCTGGGGCTCCAATGGGGAGAAAACCCACTTAACCACGTCCTCACCAAGAGCTGCCCACCCACTGCTCCAGCTGGCCTGGGTGGCACCACACACAGCCACGTGGGGAGATGGGGGAAGGCGGAGCTCAGGGTTGATCATCACGCGGAAGGTACCACACAAGATCCCCCACCACAAAGTCACGTGTGCACAGGCTGTCTCTGTCCTGGATATGCAGGAGGCCGCATCGGCACGGTGAATTCTGTCAACAACCTGAAGGAGCCTTGGAGACAGCCCAAGCCCAGATGCGAGTCTGGCCCTGGTGCCCCTTTGTTTCCAGCCTGGGGGCCCCTGTGCTGAGGGCACAATTAAGCTGGGCCTGGACCCCTGTTGAGATAATAAACATGTGTTGCTCTAAGCCTCTAAGTTTGTGATAACTCATGACGCAGCAATAGTTACCAGATACAACCGCCTCACTTAACGTCTACAGCCACGTGATGAGTTAGGCGTCAACCCCTCTTTACCGTGAGGAAACTGAGGCACGGTGGTTAAGTGGTTTGTTTGATCAAGTAGCATACGGTATTTTGTGAAATCTCAGACCTTGCAGGTTGTACGACTCGCTATCGAGAAAGCGACAATGCTGCCAATCAAACTCCGACACACTCCTCTCTCACACGTTTGCTGTGAGATGCTCCCGGTTTAAAAGAGGAGGTGAAAAATGTCTCAGAACCAGTGCAAGAGGGCAGTTAGCTGGTCAGCAGAGCTAGACTTGAAACTCAGAACCGCTGTCTCCTGAGCGCCTTTTCTCAGCACAGTATGGTCTCTCTTGGCCTCTCCCTCCCTCCTGCTGCCCGGGTCACGTGCTCAGGTGACTAGGGTTCATGGGAGGAAATGAGTGTGTCCATGTCTGGATCCAACGACTTGGTCAATGCAGATTCATTCACTCCTTGTTTAGTGGGGAAGTAAAGCCCCATCTCCCTCCCAAAATGCCTCCAGGATCCTAATTGGCATGTGGATCATGAGATTATGGTCCCCCTAATATAATGAATAGGGAAAATGGAAAGCGGACCGATTTCCTGGCAGATGGTGTCTTAACCACGTTTTTGAGGCAGCTGGCCCCACTCTGTGGCCACGTGGGAGCACATTAGTGGGAAGGCTAAGCTGCTGCCGTGACCTCACTTGCTCCTCCATCAGTAGGGTGCCTGAACTCCCGAACCTGGCGTGCACATTCCCACAGGGCACAGGAGAAGACAGCAATTGGAGGTTTCATTACGGAGCAAACTGTCTGACAACAAAAAAAGTGAGCAAATCTGGGTTCCCAGCAGTTACAGGCCTCCCGGTTCACAGCTGGGAGCCGATGCTGGGCCACCTGCACCACTGGTCCCCAGGTTTGGAGCTGTCCTGTCCCCATCAGGATGGTTGGTCCAGTGACTGTGGGTCCTAGTAATTTCAGGGAAACTTGCGTGTCCCTACCCCACACCTAAAAGGTGGCCGTGAGCTGTGCAGCCAGTTCAGGCCTCAGTGCTCGTACTTCCCCAGGGAGAGCAGGTGTCAACAGCATTTGCCAGGACTGCACCCACCGCGCAACCACATGGAAGGAAGGGGCTCCTGTCAATCAGCCAGTGTGTCTGCACAAACCAGGGTGGCGGGACAGGCTTTTCAGCGACCCCTGCCCCCATGCAGAGCCCCCCTGGAAGACCATGGCCAAGGGCACCTACCAGGCATGGCAGCGATTCCTAGGGCCTTCGTGTAGGACTCTCCAGGCAGGCAGAGCTCAGCGAGGGCATCCTGTCCGGCAAACGAGAGGCTGTCTGTCTGCTTGTTTGGACGGAGGTGGTACCCAGAGGCACTGGCGTCAGTCTCCTCCTGGACCACGGCCTCCTGGGAGGTGGCCTCATCTATGCAGGGCTCACCTGTGAGGACCTGAGCACACAGAGCCTGTCAGCCACAGGAGGTATTACTACGAGGGGGCAGCTCCTTGGCACGTGGGTCTTTCCAGCCCAAGTCTTGAGAGTTTCCAGGCGTCATTTGACTGATCGAACACTAGACACCCATCCGCCCTGGCCCCTTGCAACTCAGTTCTCTTTAATTTCAAAAATCATGCCGAAAGCATTTCTTGCCTATTCTGCATCGTCTCCATGGGAGGCTGGGGTTCCCCATACCCCAGCCACGCATTGCATAAGGAGCCTGAAAAGCTTCTGACAGCCTCGGGGCCTCAGATCCACCCAGAGACAAAGCCTTGAGGAAGTGAGTGGGGAAGTTATTTTTTTGGGGGGGAGTGCATTGTTCTAATCGTGTGCACCCTGACAATCCTTGGAGGCCAGAGAGGCGAGACTGGGTTGGGGTAGGGCTCCCTGGGGACCCCTTGGCTGCAACCCTGGCACCTCTCCTCCACCTTTCCTCTGTGGCAGAGGGTCCCATCTATTGTGCCTTTGTCCCCAAGGAAACAAGACACTGAGGGCTTCTGGACGCCACAAGCCCCAGCTCCTTTCTAGGTTGGCTGTGCTGGGAGCACTGGGGGCAAGAAGGAAGCAGTCCCCGGGCCCCAGAGGCCATCAGAAATGGAAACTGCAGGTGGCAGGCTTGCAGCTGGAGCAGGACCCATGGCCCCAAGACCTCTTGGGTTCTGGCTCCCTGCCCTGTCATTCCCTCCCCCCACAGGGGTCTGCAGATCAGCCTGGGCAGACCTAACTCTGCCCTAGCTCTGGCCCCAGGCGACACCCAGAGTTCAGTTGTCCTGCCAAAGGTGGTTGTTGCTCTGGGTCTTGTGCCCAAGCTGCCCTTTGCTACATGCCAGTGTCCATGTGTGCCAGGCATGGCCTCTCCTCCTGCAAGTGATCCTGTGAAGTGGGGATAGTCACCCCTTTTTCCAGACGAGAGGATGGAGCCTCTTAGAGGTTCCCCAGACCAAGGTCACACAGCTAAGGAGTAGAGCGACCACGTGGCCTGGCTCTCCTGCATGGCCTCTGCGGATGCTGTATGGCTGGCGGCCTCTTCCACTAGAAAGGCTATCCTAGTGTGGGCCATAAAGTGTATATGACCCCTACTAATAAGACAGAGGTCCAGGCACGTGGCAGGTCCTGTCTGGCTCCAGCATGGACACAGCTCCTCTGCTACGTCCTCCTGAGTCACGGGGCTTCTGCCTTACTTCTCTGACAAGCACCCACCCTGAAGACCCTGGGGTCCTGACTCATTTTGCCCAGGCTTGGTTCCTGCCCTGGGCCCCACTTCTCCAAGCTGCCAACCCAGCCTCTCCAGAGACTGGAGAGTGGGACGTTTCTTGGGAGGATGCGAAGTTTCTGTATCCTGTGCCCCCCACCCCAGCCACGGCCCTGTCCACTGTGCTTTATCGCTTGTTACGACCTCATGGCCATCAGACCGCTCCCCAGAGCACTGTCCCTTACCTGGGGCCTGAACACCCGTTGCTCAGGTCATCTCAGGACAGACAGAAATGGGGGCCCACTGACCTGCAGGCTGTCTGTGGCCGCTGGGACTGAGGACAGGTGTGGAGGGTGACTGAAAGACGGAGTGGAGTCGTCAGAGTCTGTCTCGAAGTCCAGGCCGTGAATGGGGAGGAGACGCTTTTTCTTATCAGGTGCAGACATGGGCAAGAGGAGGAGAGTCAGGTCAGCCTGACAGAGAGGACCAGATGCCCCTCACCCCTGGGCAGCGGGGTGGGCGCCTCTGTGGGCACATCCACCTCCTGCACTATAGACAAACCCGAAGGAGCCCCGAGCTGGCACTGAGGGGTGGCCCAGAGCCCATCCCATCTGTCACAAAATCTGCATCCCTGTCCCTCTGAGATGAGCAAAAGGAAACACACTCAGCCTCTGATGGGCATACGCCTGCTCACAAGTGCTGAGGACACAGGCCTGGCGGCTGCAGCCTTGGGGGCAGGCAGGTTTCTTGATGGGGAGGTGCTTCTCACCCTTGACCTTGAGAGGTGGGGCTTAGGTAAATGAGGGGACCCTCGATGGAGGGAGGCAGAGGTGGGCGAGAGCTCTCCAGAGCTCCATGCTCTTTAGATACAAGATTAGAGGTTAAGTTCTAAATCCCTCCCTCATTATAATGATTTTGATTCCTTAAAAGTATTGTGTAGGGAATGTTCCAGACACTGGGTAGTATTCTGTAAGCTCACTAAATGGCATGGATACAATTTTCTCACAAAAAGATGCTTTATGTTGCCCATCAAGCAGCAGGCAGACCTGGCCAGTGTTGAATCTCACAGTCCCATCGCTCTCCAAGTGTCTCAATCTAAACTCACCATCTCCTGCCTCACCTCTCCCCTCCAACCTGCTCCCCTTCCGTCATCCCACCCAGAAACCCTGGGGGTCCCCTTGCTTGTGTTTATCACCAAAAATACGTTAAAATAGAAACAAACACCAATAAAAATGTGGCTTATCACTGGCTACAAAGAAAAGCAAAAAAGTTTGCAGAGGTGAGCCTGAGGGGGATTACTCCCCTGAGAGATGTCAAGGCCACGTCCTCAGGACACCAGTGTCCACTGGGCTCCCTGCCTGCCCTCATGACCTGTGTGCCGCCGGGACTGATGGTCCATGCAGGCTTCTCTGCAGGCTGTGCCCGCTCCACAGCTTGCTTTGGGGTTGCTTATGGTGAGACCATACTCTGAGAGCACGCTCCTGTTTGGATCTCAGAGACCGTTTGGGCGTGGCGGGGGAGGCGGAGTCTTTGTGCCAGAGGAGTCATGGAGAGCACTGAGCTTTTCAGGAAGTCAGAGTATGAGGCTTCTCCAGCTGTGGGGAGCGCTGGGGGTGGCTGCGGGAAGACTTACTTTGCTGCCAAGGGGCTGGGCCTGGGCAGCTGTGTCCAGTTCTCCATCCTCATCCGTCTGCTCATTGCTGTCTCCGCTTCTCTCTCCAGGGCTTCGCGCAGGCCCACCTGCAACAGACGCCTGCATGACTCCACCCAGGGAGAGAAAGACTGGGGGCAAACTATCTGTCCATCCATCCACCCACCCAACCCTCCATCTACCCTCCCACTCATCTACGACCCATCCATCCTCCATCTATCTTCCATCTACCCATGCATCTGTCTATCCATCCATCCATCCATTTGTCCATTCTCCATCCACCTATTCATCCATCCACTCACCTACCACCCATCCATCCTCCATCCATCTACCCATCCATCTGTCTATCCATCCATCTATCCATTCATCCATTCTCCATCCACCCATTCATCCATCTATCCATCCATCTACTCACCTACCACCCATCCATCCTCCATCTATCCATCCACCCCACCCACTCATCCATCCATCCATCCACTGTGAAACATCCAGGCAAGGCCCTCTGCTGGCCTTTCAAAGACCTACCCAAGCATCAGTTAGAACTGGTCCAAATCATAGCAGAAAACTAGTACTCTGCATCAGTTTTAGCAGTGGCCACACCTGCAGCCATTCACCCTAGATTTACCAACTGTTTCCTGGGCAATCTGAAGACACTGGGGGTGTGGTGGGTGAAGGAGGCCCAGAGCGAAGTCATGTTTCCCCAAACAAACCACTTCACGGGCAGTCTCATTTCATCTGCTTATCAGCAGGCCTGGCCTCAGGCACAGATGGGAGGGAGGAGAGGCTCAGCCCCAGGGCCCCTTCTTTCCCTGAGCGCCCAGGCCTGTCTTTCCCCACACTCTTCTTGTCTTTCCTCCCATTCACAGTGGCCTGGTCTGTGTCCTGCTCCTTAAGGTCATGGCAGAGAGAGAGCCTGTAAACGAATTCTGGGGTTTTAGAGCTAGAAGCCCAGTGCATCAGCCTCCTTCCATCAGGGGCCACGAGGGGACCCCTGGCACTGCGGGAGCTCCTGTCCCCTGGGGCCGGTCCCAGCTCTTGCCGCCCATGCACCCCTCCCCCTGTCCCTTGCCCCTCACTCCCTGCATCTTCAGGTGGGGGGAGGTCTCGAGGGTGAACAAGCAGGACATTTATCGCATCTGAGGGTGCCCTGGAGGCTGACAGGGGAAACAGGACCACCTGCACCTCGCCAAGTTCCAGCTCCTGTCTCAGCTCCTGACCCACCGTGACCCTCTGCTCCGTGATGTGGGGCCAGGACCCTGCCAACCAACCCCGTTTCTGCTGGCCTGTTGCTCCCTCCAGGCTCTGCCCAGAGCAGGCGGGAGTGGGAGAAAGAGGAGAAGAACATGTGCCTTCCTGTGCTTCTCGCTTCCTGCTCCTGTCAGCACCCCCTCTCTCCGAGGGCCCCTCACCTTGACACCTGGTCCAGCCTCATCGTGCCCGCTCTCCACCCCCAGACATGAGCACCAGCCAGCTGGTGCCCCCTCTTCGTTGGACTCTGACAACAGACCTGGTAATTATTATTATTATTTTCTTTGGTGAGGAAGATCGGCTCTGAGCTAACATCTGTCGCCAATCTTCCTCTTTTTGCCTGAGGAAGAGTGTTGCTGAGCTAACATCTGAGCCTATCCTCTGCCATTTTGTATGTGGGTTGTGGCCGCAGCATGGCTTGCTGAGTGGTGCTAGGTCTGTGCCCGGATCTGGACCAGTGAACCTGGGTGGCAGAAGCAGAGCACGTGAACTAAACCAGTAGCCACGGGGTGGCCCCTTGGTAGTTATTTTTATTCTTTCTGGACATTGACGGTCTTGAGGAAACTCACACCAAACCAGTGGACAGAAGGCACTGAGATGTGAACTCTGTCTGCACCCGGGGAACCTGGAAAGGGGTTTCCAGAGGCCTGGGGGAGTGTGACTGTGTGTGTAGGGTGTCCTTGTCCCCACCATTGAATATGAACAGCGAAGGCCCCCAGGAGCTCTGTGACCCTTTCGGTCATCAGCTCTTTATGTCTCTCCCTCCACTTGGGACAAGGGTTTGAGCAGTATGAGCCCATCTATGAAGACCAAGTCATGCTTAAAAGAAGCCTGAAGGATTTCCCATGTTCCTGACAGGAACAGAGATTTCTTGACTACTGTTGAGAGGCAGTTGGAAACCAAAATGAAACCATTTGAGCCTGAACGACTTACTGTTGATGTCGGGCGAGCCGTGCGCTCTGTCAGGCAAACCTACAACCAGAGAAAAGGAGCTGAGAAGATCTTCCCGTCGGACACCTGTGCGCTTAGGCACTGGGCTCCTCGCCCCCCCAGACCCTCCCCCCCACCGCGCGTGCTTAGGGGAGGGGCTCCTCGCTTCCCTCTCTTCCCACCCCCCCGCCCCGCGCCCACTTAGGGATTCGGCTCCTTGCTCCCCCAAGGGCCCCCCAACGTGCTTAGGGACGGGGCTCCTTGATCCCACCCCCCCCCCACCGAGGGCCCCCCACAGTGCCTGCCTATCCTGTTAGGAGGCCTTGGGAAAACACCCCCATTGCTCTGAAGGCTCACTCAGAAGACCCCCCGGTGGCCCCCTACCAGCTGCACATGGCCCTGGCTGTGGCAGGTTGCAAAACACTAACTTTAATCATTTCTTTCCTTTTCATTCTTTAATTTGAATACTTTCTTTTTAAAGGCACACCTCTCCCAGCTTTCGTGCTCCTTGCGCCCTTCCCCTCCTTGTGCACTGTGTGGTATTGACAGGCCCCCCACAGGAAGAACGCAGCCCCTGGGCATCACCCTGGGGACCTGAGACTCTCCTCACCGAGCCCGGGCGGCAGCTGGGAGTCTGGGTTCCCGTGGCCCAACAGCGCCACCTCCTGGCCCTCGGTGGTGACAATTTTGAAATTGGCAGGTTCAGGGTGGTGGTGGTTCCAGCAGCAATGGGCCCTGCCTGGGCATCAGAATCCCCACCACCCTTTTTATATAACACGGATTCCTGGGCCACCGCGGTCTCTAGAGATCAGCATCTCCCAGGGCGAGGCCCAGGTCCTCGGAGGTTCTGATATGGCCTGCGGTTTCCCGCCATCAGCCGGGCTGCCTTGGGGTTGAGATTCTCAGAGGCTTCGCCATGCGGCTTTGCCAGAGCCCCCTGTGGTTCCCGCCCCTGAGCCCTGTGGAAGGGGCTGGACCAAGCTCCCTCTGCCATAGGAAGACCCTCGGTGGCTCCTGGCTGGTTCAGTGGACGTGGGATTTACTGATGGGCTCCAGCCCGAGACAAAGAAATCAGCCACAAAGAATCAGCCTGGGGAGGAGGTGGGAAGACCCCTCCCCCCCCACCAAGGACAGAGTGATGGTACCTCCCTGTCCCCGGGGCACTCCCATCACATCTGTTGTCTCAGCATGTTATCAGCAGGGCTACTTTTACTCGTAAAAATGTCCTGGTTTGATGACTGATCCTATGTTCTCCCTCCCAAGAAGGCCCACACCCTGTGTTCTGCGGTTCCAGGTGCTAAAAGCCATCACAGGGCAGGGTGCCCCTCGGCGGTCTCTGTCCTGCATTCAACAATGTGCTCAGATGCCTCAGAAACACCTGCACCATGGCCATCGGGAGCTCAAACGCTCTGGGGGTGGCCATGCCCAACTTCTGCTCCTGCCTATCAACCTGGGGCTGTAAGGGACACAAGACACAAACAAGGTGCCTCCCCAGAAGGCCTGGGGGAGATGCCTGGGCTGGGCACGGTGAGGGCATCCCCAGTACAAGAAGCAGAGCATCGGCTCTGGACGTGCAGGAGCTGTAGCCCGGGAGGCACTTGCCCCCATCCTCCAAATGGAGACACTCATGATACTGAGATCCCAGGCACCAGCCCAGCAAGGTGTCCCACCCAAAGCTTGGCCAGGCTTGATGGCAGAACCTGGGGCTCAAGTGGCAGGGACAAGGTGTGCCTTCCCCACAAACACTGCTCAATGATCTCCTATAAAGTTCAGGGGAAACTGGCAAACTCAGGCATTCTCCCATCCTTCCCCTGAAATGACCTCTGTCTAAATAGCACGAAGGTAGACAGTAAAGGTGAACTCATGTTTAGCATAAGACAACGGTCTGGATTTCAAGTTCATCACGAAATAAATAGTTGAATTCAAAATACTAAAACAAACGATTGAGTTACAATCAATTTCTCTAAGTCTTGAGGATGATCAGACTCATGGGAAATGTTTGTTGAAAAGAGAGTCTGGGCCCCAAATCCCACGCCCCGGGAGGAAGGGCCTGGAAAACGTGGGCTATTAATCAGAGTCTGGTTATTTGATGAGCCACCCAGTTTGAGACCCTTGGCTATGCGTTTTCAACCTGCTATGGAGCTCTGGAAAAAATACGATTTCAAAAAGTGGGGGTGTCAACCACACGCAGGACTTCCCAGGGGGCCAGGCCAGGCCAGGGGGTGTCTAGAAGTTCACACCTCACACGAAAAGCAGCCAACCTCATATGAAACGCCAGAAACAGGGACTGACAGACAGGTGCTCACACCACATTCCAAAGGAATCTGCTTGGTCCTGAAACATTAGCATGCCTGGGAACAAAAATAGCCCCCTGGACACTGGACAGAGAGGCCCTCGCCCTCCCGGCCGGCCGCGCCTTACCCTGCAGCCGCCCGCAGAGGGATCGGATCACCTTGGCGCTCCCGAACCGCTTGAAGCGGGCTCTCACGTGCCCGTAGTACCACTCTAGCGAGCCGATCTTCACGACTCTGCAGAGAGACGGAGCCCAGAGCTGGGGGCGGCCCTGCCACACACACCCACGTGCCCACCCTTCTTCAGCCAGCCCCACCAAAGGGACACACTGGGCCCCAAAACCAGCAGGGTCACTTGACCTCTGGGCCTGGCTCACCTGGCCAGGTGGCAGGGGTCGCAGAGCCAGCCCTGCTCCTCTGGATGGGCGTGGCTGCAGGCCTTGCAGATGAAGAGGTGGCAGTCCACACATTGCCTCTTGGGCATCACCAGGAGCCGGTAGGGCTGCAGGCAACGGGCACAGTGGGTCTCATTCAGGTGGGCGGTGTCCGAAAGCAGCTCCCTCTGGGAACTTTCCCTCTTAATCTTGCCCTTCAACCCCCTTAGGAAAAGATCAGAAACAAGAAATATGTTGGACACCTTGTTTTTTTTTTGAGGAAGATTAGCCCTGAGCTAACATCCACTACCAATCCCCTTCTTTTTGCTGAAGAAGACTGGCCCTGAGCTAACATCCCTATCCACGCCCATCTTCCTCTACTTTATATGTGCGATGCCTGCCACAGCATGGCTTGATAAGTGCGTACATCCAGGCCCAGCATCCAAACCAGTGAACCCCAGGCCACCGAAGCAGAGTGTGTGGACATAACCACTGTGCCACCTGGTCAGCCTCTGGACATCTTGTTTTTACAGTTGGTTTTAAATGTGTGTGCGCACACACACAGGAACTCTCCCATATGCAGGAAACAGCGACCCAAAGTGGGGTAAAGACTCACAGGCAGCCCTTACTATTTGCAACGCCAATCCCACTCTCTCCCTAGGGGGAAGACCAATAAGTTGGGCTCAAACATGAGCAATTTGGGTAAGCTGGAGTTGAAATACTCTATTTCTTTTTTTTTTAAGGAAGATTAGACCTGAGCTAACATCTGCTGCCAATCCTCCTCTTTTTTTGCTGAGGAAGACTGGCCCTGAGCAAACATCCATGCCCATCTTCCTCCACTTTATATGTGGGATGCCTACCACAGCATGGCTTGACAAGTGGTGCCATATCTACACCCGGGATCCGAACCAGTGAACCCTGGGCTGCTGAAGTGGAACGTGTGCACTTAACCGCTGCGCCACTGGGCTGGCCCATGAAATACACTATTTTTATAGACATGAAATTGCATTTAAACATTTCTGTGACTACTGACAATTTTACATTTTCCAGTCTGCACGCCCACGACTTTGATTCATGGCCAAAGGACAACGAACCATGAAGGTTCAGAAACACAGAGTGGGGCAGTTACTGCCATTGCCTGCACAACCTCATGTAACTCAAAATCATGGAAAGAGGATGGACTGAGGTTCTGAAGCCCAAGTTCTTTCCCCAGCTCTGAGCCTGAACCCTGAGTTTTTCGGATGCAGAACTCAAAGCTCGGAGACTGTGCCAGGCTCTCTCTTTAGCTGGATGGCGTGGACCTGTAGACAACCTTCCCTGGATGGGGTGAAGTTGGTGGCTCTCAGAAGCCCAGCAGGAAGCAGGCGAGGTGGAGCCCTGGGTGTGCAGCCTGATTGGGCCACATGGTTATCTAGAGCCAATCTATTGCCCAGTCTAATTTTTTAAGAGGAGGTAAAAGAAGAAAGAAAAATCCAAGTGGTTCATGAGCTGGTCAGAGCAGCAGCAGAGGTCACAGAGAATGCAGAGGAAAGGCTCATTCAGAAGGTGGGCAAGGCAGAAGCTCCTTTCTGTGAGGCCCTGGCCAGCTACACCCGTTCTGCCACACTGGCCTGAGTTAATGGCCCTGAGCTGAGGACAACACCTGGTAAGTGGAGGTCGGATTGGCGTCCCATTGAGAAAGCTGACGGATCACTGCACCCTCCCTAGAGGGGTCACACAGGGTCCTAAGGGCAAAACCAGATGATATTCCCTCAGTGAGCAGTTCTGGGTCTCCTCCAGCAGTGGAGCAGGTTGACCTGCTCCCCAGGTTTGTCCCGTGGAGAATGGCTGCAGTGGTGTGGCTTGGCGAGTGTCCAGAGCAGGAATGACCCAGAGCCCAGAAGTCCCAGGAAAACCACCGTTCCCCCAGACCACGGGGTTTTCGGTAGCAGAGCTTCCTGGTGAGCCTGCCAACTGCACTGATTGGAAAGCCCACCCCCAGATAAGGAACATGTTCCCTTTGTTTTGGGTTTCAGAGAATGTCTGCCAAACATAATATTTTTAGTTTTAGATGAGATCAAATTAATCCATTCTTAGTGACATAATTAGACAGACACTAGGAGCCATTGTCTTCTGAGAACTCTGCACCTGTGGTTTCTGATGGGGACACCCCAGAGCATGGTGGAGGCTGAGGACAATGGAGCGATTCCAAGCAGCTTTGGGAGACTGCTCTGGTTTACAGCAGCCTTGACTGCAGTTCACTGACTCCCCTCTCCCATCTATTGATTAAAACACTCTTGAAGACAGACACAAAAATAAGACTCCTGTCTCAGATTTGAAAACCAAGAAAGGATGGCCAAGTGGTGATAAGAATCTAGGGGAATATTGGCATCCATTGACTACAGTTTAGATAAAGCTGCATGGATGAGGTCAAGTCTTTGCTCCAAACAGAGGAGCACCAGGCACCTGGAGCCAGGTGGGAAGGCTCTGGTCTCCTCCATTTCCACTCTTGCTGTATCTGCATCAGCCAGAAGACCTAGAGGCCGCTCCTTCACTGGGCAGGGCCTTGTCCAGCCTCTCTCCCAGTGAGTGCTTCTTATTCTCTATCCAGGCAGAGCTGTACCCTCAGGGCCCAGCTCAGCAGGAAGAAAGATGAGGACGTGTGGAGGCACACTGCATCCCAGAATGTGAAGTCCTCTTAAATAAGAGCCCAGAAGAGTCCTGGGGTGGTGGCTGGAGAGTGACAAAATTCAGGTGCTGAATTTGGGGAAAGGATAATTATATTTTGCTTCAGATTCTTTAAAACATAACTTCTCTTCTTCATAGATGGAGAACGGGAAGGAAGGGAAAAGGAGACTCCGTGTTGCTCCAGCAGAGTAACACCACATGATGCCTGCCAGCCACAGGGCACATCAACCAAATGGGGAGGAAGTGAGTGGGGCCAGAGCAATGCACACGCCCTGCTTAGTGCAAACACTGGGTTGACCAGATGTCTGTCCACTACACATACATCAATAGGCAAAAGGTCATCATGCAGCTACAAGTTAAAGTCACCTTCAGGAATAAAAGGCCCCCTGAATGTGATTTACTACCAGAAACAGAAGAAGACTTGAAACAAGTCTGTTTGGTGTGCTAAGTGGGGCATAAGAGAGAGGGGCAAGAGACGAAGGCTGAGATGGAAGGACTCAGGCTATGTTCATTGACGTGGAGAAGAGCTGGCTAAAGTAAAGACGGAAAGAACTTAAAATCGACAACGAGGAGGGAAATGGGCAGAATTGCACTGCAGCATATTTAGTCCAATGATTTAGAATAGTGGTTCTCAACATGTGGTCCAGAGGTTCCTATGACCCTTGAAGAAAGTCCACAAGGTCAAAACGATTTTCATAATGATACTACGATGGTATTTGTCTTTTTTGCTTTTTGACACCTGCAGTGATGATGCAAAAGCAATGACGGCAAAACTACTAGGGCCTTAGCAGATCAAGGCAGAGGAACAAACTATACCAGTAGCCATTCTCTTTTTTGTCACAAAGGAAGAGTAAAGAAGAGGAGCTTGTCTTTGATGAAGTATGTCCTCGATTAAAGGTATGTCCTCGATTAAAGGTATGTCCTTGACGAAACAGGAAAAATTACTCACCTTATCCAACCTTGACCCCTGGGTACCTGCCTTCTTAATATTCTGTGAGCTGAAATGAGACGTGCACTGTGTATTGAAGGACCACAGATGTCCTGATGAAAGGAGCCAGGCAATTGCTTGAATTCCAATCCGAACTAGAAACTTTTTCCAGGAAACATCATTTTTACTTGAAAGAACAGCTGAGAGAGAAACTATTCTGCCTGGGGCATTTGCCCAACATTTTCTCAAAAGTGAACAAAGTGAGCCCGTCACTTCAGGAAGATAAGTGACAATATTTGTTGCCAATCACAAAACTCAAGCTTTCAAGCACAAAGAAGAACGTTGGAAAACTTACATCTGCCGCCACGAGCTTGACAGTTTCCATCACTTAAAGGTTTCTCATGAGATCAGTGAGGATGGTCATGAGTGTGATTTTGTTGGTTATATATAATGAAATGTGTCGACATTTGGGAAGTCTGCATACGGTGTTACAAAATCAGGCATGGATAAAAGGTCCACTCTAAGTGCAAGACAGGCCAATGGATTTTAATGGAACAAGGGAGGAAACGTTCACTGATACGGTTTCAGATTCCAAGAGTGTTGGGGAGAGCCCAGGACACCAGGGGTTGGTGGCTCATCCCTCCAGGGCCGGTGCGTGTGCTCTCTATCACTTGTGTTGGGCGTTGGGTGGATCTCTACAAATCTTAGACCAAGCCCTAGCAGGACGGTATGATGTGCTGAGAGGGCCAGGGGACGAGTGGGGTCTTGGGGTTGGTATCAAGAGGCCTCCGCATGTAGGGTAGATGGCTGGGATCAGGACCTCAGTGGCAGATGCCAGCCACTCCCAACGCCCGTCAGGAACATTTGCATATGAGCGATGGTCCGCATCCCAGAAGCAGACCCAACCCTCTGCTCTGCATCAGAGAACAGCAAGGAGCCAGTGGACAGTGTGTGCAGTCAAGACCCCACCAACTCTGGTCACAGTGAGCGCCATGAGCCCCTCTCCCATCACCCACTGCTGACCTGGATGGGTCACGCTGGAAGAGAAGACTAAGCCAAGAAAGGAGACCGTAAGCGAGCAGAGTCTGGGATAGGGACATCGACAAGCTTAAGCTTTCTTGCTGCTCAATGGGTGGAGACTCTTGAGTAAGATCAGAGAGGTAATCAATGAACTATTTTTCTTTGCACAGCTTGGGTGTGAGTGAGTTTGAACCCTGCCACAGTAGCACGATCACCACGGGAATAGGTGAAACCTCTCCCAACCAGGAAAAGGAAGGGAGCTGGATCTTCAGACTAGAAGGGGTTGCTGGATTGTGGGCCCCATGCACACAACTGACGGACACAACTGCTCAGCTACAAGGATGCAGTAATGTCCCTGCCAGCATGAGCAGACAGAGCAGGCTGCGTGGGCTGGAACACAAGCCTGGCATGCGGCTTGTTTGCAAGACCGAGAGCTAGAAGCAATGGGGCAGCTTCGTGTTGCTGCTGTAACACATTTGCACAAATTCAGCGGCTTAAAAACGACGTCAACTTATTATACATGGTTCTGGAGGTCAGATGTCTGACACGGGTCTCTCAGGGCCGAAATCAAGGTGTCAGCAGAACTGTGATCGTTCCCGGAGGCTCTGGG